TCTGCATTTCTCCATTCTTGGATCTTCCCCCAGATTTCTCGGTTGGTCAGGTGTCGCATGATCCCTGCTTGTCGGGACTGCTTGGGTTCTGCTTCACCTGGTGTGAGTTGGGTGGATGGCTTCCGCTCACGCTTCCCTCCTTCACCGAGGCCACTGGGACGTGTGGGCTCGTTTAGAAAGCTTTGCAGACTTGATGACCAACCCGCGCCGCGGAAGGGCGGAGGTTGCCCGCTCGAGGGTGCTGCTGCTGCTGCTGCTGCTGCTGCTGCTGCTGGCAGACGGCGGAGAAGGCGGAGGAGTCGGACTGTCAACCATACCATCTTCCGCAGCATCCCCCGCTGAGAAGTGCTCGCCCTCTTCGTCCATTGGGCAATCAACTCCTCAAGTTGTGCTGCGGCAACGACTGTCGCCCCCTCTTCATCAACCTTCTCTCCATCTTCTCTTCTGCCAAAGTTGGATGGACTTCTTCGACTTCTTCCGCAGACGCGGCATTGCCCGCTGCGGCTGGTGCAGGAATGATCGCTGGTTCCGATATTTCCCTGCTGACTTTGTGTTGGACGCCATCTCTTGGCTGCCATGGGATTCCCTTCATTTCACTCACAAGTTCACTGTCGATCTGGGCCTCCTTAGGCAAGCGGTGGATCGACCTCACAGCAATCGCACCTGCTGAGGTGCCAATTACATGGCTGTCGTCTCTGTCCAACTTTCGTAGCCGCACACCTTTCTGCCTTTTGGCATTGGAATCTTGCCCAACACGATTTCACCCAGGGTTGCCAATGGGTGATTGTAGTCCGCTCCATTGACCATCCTGTATGGAGTGAGACCATCACGTCACCTCGTCTGATAACGAGCTATGAACCATGCTGCATGGTGCACTAGCCACGGGGTCAAATTGCAACTGGCATCCAGTTCTCCTTTGGGCTGCGCCTCCTCCTCTCGGTCGGCCAACAGACCTGGATCCTCCAGCGCCAAGTCTTGTTCAGAGGCTGCTTCCTCTTCACGCCCTGCGTGCTCTCTGACTGCATCTCCTTCTTCATCGCCATGCAGAGCATTCCCTCATCAGCTGGATCGATGGCTGCGATCTTTGCTTGCCAAGCCTTTGGCTGTTCTAGTTCCCGAAACGGCAAGAGGAACTGTTTGCCGTTCCGGGCAAAAATGGTTGTGCTGCCGTCTGCCCACCGTACTGTTCAAAGTGAACACTGGCACCCATGTCAAGTGCTCTGTTGACAGAGAGGATGCTTCCTCCTTGTGCTGTTCACCTAACCTGAGTCTTGGGCAGATCTCCCCGTATGCCTTGAGCGGTGTGTCATCCACAGTGTAGAGTTCTTCTACCGCTTCTATATTCAAGGCGGCTGTTTGAAACGCTTCAGGTCTGCACACTGAGGAGCATGCTCCAGTGTCTACTAAAAGAGTACCCCGGCTGGCAAGCTTGGCCAAACGCGGATTGTCTCCAGTATTGAAGACTTGGATTGCTGAGACCTTGTTGCCATCGAAGACTGAATGGGGCTCCCTCGTTCAATAGCTTCCACTTCTTTCTGAGCTCTTGGCGTTGCCATTGTTGCAACTTTTCACTCCATTGCCAGGTTGTTCTCAGAGTGTACTCAGGATACTGAGGTCCTGGAGCCACATACTTTCTTTTTGCGACCAGAACGGCCCTTCGTCACGTACACATTGGTGTCAAGACTGAGGTCATGCCAGCCTCGTCTGTCGTTCAGTGCCAAAATGGCATCACTAGGTTGCAGATTCTCTCCTTTGGGATTGGCCAAAGTGGCCTCAAGTTGTGAAACCTTGCCCTGTTCTGCCAAAGTGGACTCAGCGCTCTGGATGCTGCTCTGCACCTCTTGGACGGCCTTGACCATGAGAAGTCGGTGTTCCCGATCTTACCAAGACTCTTTTCGCTGTTTGTATTGCGTCGAGGGTGGGAGAGTGATGATGGTACTGTTTCCTCCCACTTGAGATGCCGAGGGCCCAGCAGAGATAACCGAGGATGTGTCACCCTCAGCGACTGCTGAAACGGACTTCTTCCCTTTGCCCTTTTCTCGGCCTTTCGAGTTGAACCAACACTTCTCTGTCATACGGCCTGTTTTCCAGCAGATGGCGCACCTGTCTTTGCTGTCACTGCTTTTGCCACTCTTTCCGCTGCTGTGGCTATCTTTGCTTGTCCCTTTTTTTTTTCTTTGCCCTTCTTGCCCTCCCTTTCCATTTCCATCTTTTCCTGTACCCTTACCTTTGCCATGACCGATTTGACCAATCTCCATGGCATCAGGGTCATTGCGTGCGGCGGCACCCGCATACGCTGCTGATGGCTTCCACACTTGCTTTGCTTGCAGATATGAAACCACCACCTCACGCACAGACTGGTAAGTGGTTGAGGTTCTTATGTGCATAGAAAAGTGTTGTTTCAGGGCTATAGGGGGCTTCTGTCAGCACTACAGCGCGCTTGTCTTCGTCGCTGATGGCTTTGGCTTGGCCATATTCGGCCTCATACTTGTCGAGATCAGCTTCCCACCCTTGCAACGCACCTGAAAATTTGCCTCTTTGGTGGGAAATTTGGGGCTGAGTAAGGCGCGTCTCCAGACCAAACGCTTAGAGTGGTTGTTTGGGGCGGGCTCGCGCCAAAGCAACCGCCAGAATTCCCAGCCATTTTGCTCTCTTATACCTCTGGCGATCTTTGTCGCAACAGTCAGCTCTTGCGTCCATGAATTCAGCATTGCAAATAGTTGTCTCCCTCGAGACTTGCAGTCACCTGTCATATCTACAGAGTCAACAAACGTTGTGCTTTTTCGTGCTGCGTCAAGCTCGTCAGGGAATTCTTCACTCAGCAGTGCCAGGTACGTTTCCACCTGAAAGCTGAAGCATTCCTGTTGATCCCGATCCTTTAAGGATTGGGTTTGCTTGAGGGATTTCAGCACAGCGATGTGACTAACTGGTCTGCCGGCGGCGCGGAGCTCCCCACGCCTTGCCGCTTGCTGATCCATCTTGTTGGACCGTTTGGTCTGAACTGGTGCCTGTCCCTACAAGGGGTGTTTCAGGCTGTTGGCTCAAAGCCCCTTGTATCTTGTCACACAGATCCAACGCTATCTGCAGCTGTTCACCTACGCTGGTGGGGGTTGAACACGCGGGATGCCCGCTGCGTACGGCGGTGGTACGGCTAACCCTGTTGCTGCTGGCAGGCGTGGCCTTGTCTTTGTGCTCCTCTTGGTTTTCTGCTCCCAATGTTGCTTTAGATCGTGAAGAAATTCCAGGATCTCGAAGCTTTCTTCGCTGCTGATATCGCCTCCGAAATCCACCTCGTCCATCAGCTCCTGCGGGACCTGAGGACCTGGCTCGTCGAGTATCTGCTTGACCTCGGTGATGCCTTCTTCGACGTAGGCATTCCTTGCTCTTGCCTTTGGCACAAGGATGACTCTTGTCTGTTCGACCGCTTCTAAGGCTGGTTTGCCCTCAGGCGGTGCTTCCCGCTCGCTTCTTACTCCAGTATTACCCTTGAGCCACCGCTGGGTTCGGTGCGTGGGACCTCCGCTGCACGGGCTCTGTCGTTGGCTCCGGCTGCGCTGGCTCTTGCTGTGCAGTTGTCTGCATGGGTTCTTGCTGTGCTGGCTCTGGCTGCGTCGGTTCAGGCGGCACAGGTTCTTGTAATTAGTGCAGGCTCTGGCCGAGTTGGCTCAGGCTGCACAGATTGCGCTGGATGCGCTGGCAGGTTGGGCTGGCTGCGCTTGGTTTCCCAAGCTGCTGCCTGTCTCCGGTCTTGCCCTCTGTTGGCTCTGGCCAGGGTCCGGGCCACTGACCTGTAGCCTCTCCTGTTTCGGTCCCGGCCGGCTTGCCGACTGGACCGTCCAGACGCTCTCGCAACGCAGGCTTCCCACCACACGCGGTTAGCGTCAGTGAGGTCACCAGGTGGTGCTGCTGTTGCCTGCTGGTCGGTTTGCCCTGACCAGTCTTCACACTTCACACTCTACGCTTCACACTCTACGCTTCACACTCCTTTCTCTCCAATCTACTCTCTACACTTCACAATCTGCACTTTACGCTCCACATTCTACATGTTACTCTGCGCTCTACGCTTTGTGCTCTATACTATACTCTACACTTCACACTCTACAATTTACCTTCTACATTCTAAACTTTACACTTCACAGTGTAGATTTCCATTTTACACTTCACACTCCACACTCTGCACTCTTCACTTTACACTTCACACTGTATAATTCACACTCTACACACTGCGCGCCCTACTCTCTACACTTCAAACTGCGTACTCGACACTCCGCACTCTACACTTCACACTCCGCACTCCAGGGCCTACGCCCTACGCTCCACGACCTAGACTCCACGCTCTACAATCCACACTTTCCATGTCACACTCCGCACTCTACACTCCGCGGCTCCACGATGTGTACATTCCGCTTCAGGCTCCACATTGTACACTCTACACTTCACATTCCACATTCAAAACTCCGGCTTTGAAAACAAGAACCCTTTGCGACGCATTGGGGAAAATCCTGCCGGGGCATCCCACAAGAGCGTCGCAGCAACGGTTTCTCGCCAGAGTGTTTCTTCAAAAGTGTTGTGCAAGAGTGCCTTTCTGTGCTCTACAAACGCGCCCCATCGCAGCGGCGCGATTTTTCCCAAAGTTTCTCGCAAAAAATTGACGTGCAAGCGTAGTGCTTGGGATATTTTGGCTTGTGTGATTACTTGAGTGTAGATCATGTTACTTTTGCACCCAGTGACACGCCAAGGTCTACCGTGAACACAAGTTTCCGCATTTGCGTGGTGTCCGTGAAGAAGCTTTAAACGTATGTGTTTTCACTTCCTATAAACATGGTTGTAACGCAGGTGTTTTTGCACAAGCACGGTCACACATTGACTTATGTTTTTTTGCCTACTTACTTGTGCTGTTTCAAAAGGAACATGTGAAAAAACAGTAGTCAACCATGCGCTTCACACTGGACCGGCACATGTTTGCATGACACATCGGGGCAATTTGTTTACCATGTAGGATGTTGGACAGCCATGGCGATGATGATGGCGGTGAAGTGCCTCGGATACCTGGTGACACCAATGCGGAGGCCAGCCCGGTGCAGCGAAATGGTTCAAGTGGACATTTCTGATCAACCCTGTGTGCATGGAAGGTCCTTCCGTCCAAGAAACAAAAAGTTGGAGCAGAGAAGCAAGTGGAGGAGGCCAAACCCATGAGCAAGCGAAAGAAGAGAAAATTGGAGACTTGGATGCGTTTCTATTTCCAATTCGATTGTTCAATTGTTTTTTCTCGTAGTTGATTGCCTTAATTTTGTGGTTCCATGTGCGCAGTGAGATTGTGAAAATCACAAGGAGCAGCTGGCCCAGAAGAAGGCGAGCAAAGAACTGCGGGGCGAAGTTTTGGAACAACTCAAGGCAGGACAGGACGCAAATGATACGGATGGCGGTGAACGTGATCGGACAAAAGCAAGGAATATATAATTTTGGGAGGTTAGGTTTCTTTGCCTCCTCTCTTCAGATGTAAAAATATAAGGATCGTGTTGGGTGGGCCTGATGAAAGTTCAACAAGCTGTTTGTGTTTCTTTGAAGATCTTGTTCATTTTGTTGTTGGTTGTTCTTCTGTTGGAGTCGTTTGTCATACTGGGAGGCAATACAGCTGACGCCTGATCAAGCAGAATTATTGAAGGCCTCCCAGAGCACCAGGCACGGACGTTTGCTATGCGGCGATTCAGTTGTGAGCACACTTAGCAAGAAAGGAACCCGAAATTTAATCAAGGCTCATGTATATGTGCGTATATATATTATATTTATATTTATGCATGTCTGTATGTATATGGCCGTGTCTTTTTTAACGTGATGTTCGAGTTGTGCGAATCATACCCCCGAATCATACTTGAATCATACCCCCGAATCATAACCCCGAATCATAACCCCAAAAATCACGATTATGAATGTTTCTTCTGGGATAGTTTGGGATTGCATTGGCCTCGCTTGTTTTAATAGACCTGACACTGGCTACCTTCACACGACCTGAGTGCCACGCGCACATCAGTATCCCTAAGCTGGCTAGCTCTGGGTGGCTGGCTGGCTAGGTGGCGGCGGCTGGCTGGCTGTGTGGCTGGGTAGGTGGCTATGGCAAGTTGCTGCTGCTAGTTGGGTGGCTGGCTATAGGGCTGGCTAGTTGCGGCTAACTGCGTGGCGGGCTAGGTAGCTAGGTGGCTAGGTGGCTGGCTCTCCTGCCTCCTCGCTGTGGCTGGCTAGAGTCAAGGCTAATTAATACACTTGACATGCTTGCTGTGTTGTCTGATAAGGCTGATGAGGCTGATGAGGAGGATGACTCCGGCTGTGGCTGGCTGGCTGGCTGGCTGGCTGGCTGGCTGGCTGGGCTGGCAGCCAAACCAAAAATCCGTTGAAGAGGAGCATTAGCCTAAGCGTAGCTGAGCTACATCAGAAGAACATCCAGAAGACACGCCGGCAGGCCGGCGCGCCGGCAGGCCGGCGGCATAGATGTGTATTTAGATCTTCATATTCTTCATATTCAGGCCCGGTCCAAGGTCGTCTGGCAGGTCGAGCCATTGCAGCCATTAAGTAGCAATCGTGGTAGGTTGACGGTGGGAAAAAGACTCAAGCAACAAAGCTTCCTGAATTCAAAAAAATGGGTTTCCGAGTCATACCCCGAATCATGCCCGAACCATACCTCAAACTTCCCAATTCTGAACCTTGGTACATTTGCAAGATCAGAACTTGTGTTTTGTGAGCTCCTGCTGCTTTTGAGAAAAATCGACAGCAGCACCTGGAGCGGCATCCTGCAATGGCACCAATATGCCGATTCCAAAGCACACGCACCACTTTAACTGCAGCACCTTGAAGCAGCACCCTGCAGCGGCACCAGCTGCTGCAGGGTGCGGCTGCACCCTTCACTAGCATTCTTGCAGCACGAGTTGGGTACATTACATACCCCCTTTGCAGCACCCTCAAGCATCACCTTTGCAGCAGCACCAGCAGGCTAGCCCGGCAGCAACCTCAAGCAGCACCTTCCGCCGGCATCCGCTCACCAGCATGCCCGCTCCAAAGCAGCATGGTTTAAAAAGCACACGCACCACTCTGACAGCAGCACCTTCAAGCATCACTTTCAGGCAGCACCTGCAGCAGCACCCTGAGCGCCACCAGTATGCCCACTCCAAACTGTACACGCCACTCTGACAGCAAGCAACACCCTGCACCAGCACCTTGCAGCGGCACTCCAACGGCACCACCATGCCCGCTCCAAAGTGCACACACCGCTCTGACAGCAGCACGCGCAGCGGCAACATCATGCCAGCTCCAAAGCGCTCCACGTATGGCATAATTGCCAACAATTGAAACATTTTGGGGGTAAGTGTGGGTAAATATCCATACATGGAGGATGTGGGGAAACACTGAATCAAGGTCCGCGAATCATACCCACAAATCATACCCCGAATCATGCCCACAAATCATACCCCCTAGACAAACATCCCGGACTGCACGCGGCATTTTGGGACATACCCATATTTACACTGTATAATTAAAATATATTCACCCCGCTTCGCGTGGGGTGGCCGCCCACACCGCAGGTTTATTTCGGTCCGTGAGAGGGGCTAAGGGTGGTGTGGAATATGAGGAGCAGAGCAGCACAGGAGAATTGACATACATAACTGCTGGGTTCGTGAATATTTTTTTAAGTGGACTGAAAATATGTGAAGTTTCCCAAGCTAAGAATTTTCACTTTTCCCCGCCGTGACAGCTTCCCAAGCTATGGAATTTTCACTTTTCCCTCCCTTGGAGGCTCTCCAAGCTGCGGAATTTCAAATAGCTAGACAACGACGCCTAGATAGTCCCCCAAATCCCGTGTTCTTTGAATGTGTTTCCATGTTTTTGCAATGGTTTCCTTCAAAGCACGGTACTTTACACTTTTGTCGCCATAAAACCGGTTGAAAACATCATGTTCGACACTGCTTCCAATTGGGGCTTCCCAAGCTAAGCAATTTTAACTTTCCCCCCCCGTAGAGGCTTCCCAGGCGAGAATTTTCACTTTTCCCCCCCGTGGAGGCTTCCCAAGCTAGGGAATTTTCGCTTTTCCCCCCCGTGGGGCTTCCCAAGCGACGGAATTTTCACTTTTCCCCCATGAAGCTTCCCAAGCTAAGAATTTTCACTTTCCCCCCCCGTGGGGGCTCCCCAAGCTAGGGAATTTTCACTTTTCCCCCCCTTCCCAAGCTAGGGAATTTTCACTTTTCCCCGCCGTGACAGCTTCCCAAGCTATGGAATTTTCACTTTTCCCTCCCTTGGAGGCTCTCCAAGCTGCGGAATTTCAAATAGCTAGACAACGACGCCTAGATAGTCCCCCAAATCCCGTCTTCTTTGAATGTGTTTCCATGTTTTTGCAATTGTTTCCTTCAAAGCACGGTACTCTACACTTTTGTCGCCATAAAACCGGTCGAAAACATCATGTTCGACAATGCTTCCAATTCCCTTATCTCCCCAACCGTTGAAAATACCGCTATTTACAGTGTTGTCTTCAATTTTTCCATGTTCCAATGCCGGTAGCCAACTCCAACATATATATATATAAGAAATCTTTCCAAAACATTGTTTTTGACAATGTTTTTCCAATGTTTCCAGTCAAACAGACGGTAATTTACACGTTTTTTGCCATAAAGGCAGTAAATCCTTCCAAAACATTGCTTTTGACAGTGTTTTTGTAATGTTTCCAGTCAAGCATACGGTAATTTACACGTTTTTTGCTATAACGTCAGTCCAAAACACTTGTTTTTGCAGTGTTTTCAATGCTCTGGCATCCAAAAACCCTGCAAAATCTTGCTATGTACAATGTTTTTTTTCATTTTTGGCCGTTTTTCCATTGCCGGAAAGCTACCAAAATGACCCAAAATTCCATTTCAATACCCTCTTGCGCTCAGACACCCAAAAATCCTCGAAAAATGTCGAAAACACCACCTAATTCTGGTCTCGGTGCGAAACCGTTTTTGACCCCCCCCCAGCTAAAGCTGATATAGCGACTGCTATATTAACAAATGTGATTGAGCATTTAGTGTAGCCGTTTCCCCCCAATAAGCACGCCTTCACCGCCAAAGCGGTGTGGGCGGATTTACATACACCTCTTTGGGGTGTTTGTGGGTCATATGGCTGACCGTCAGACCCAGTGTGTTTGGATCATCCCGCCAGCTGAGGCTGTCGAAGCGGGAGCAGAAAGCCATGGCTCAACGCCGGGCGCAGTTGGGCATTCCCTTGACGTCCACCATGAAGGCCTGATCCCTTGAAGATCAGGGCGCATGACATATACATACATAAAGTGGAGATTCATCTATGTCACCTGGTGCTGCCTGGTTCCATCCTTGGGTCTATCTCCATTGACACTTGGGCATTTCAAACTGCCACGGGCATGGCAGGAGACGTTGAAGCGGAAGCCTCGGCAGGTGAAGCACCAAGCAAATGATCAGGAGGGGGTTGGGGGGATGTCCGGGATGCGGCTGGATGCGGCTGGAGACCTTCGCGTTGCTCAAATTGGTTCGCATCTTGGTAACCTGAGAGTTGCTGGCAGCCAAGATGGACGCTGGTGTGTCATTCACTGTGTAGGAGGAGGATACCGATGCAGATGAAGACGATCCAGATGAACTTCCCAAAGCAGGTGGGATTACTGGGACGAGTCTTTTTAGAGCGTGACCTTTTGCAATGTCCAGGATTTTTGCGTTTTTTTCCAGTGAGTCTTCGTGTGCTTCCTGGACTTGGCGCCATATTGTCCAGGAGCCAAGGCACAGCCACCTCCAGAGCAGCCTGTGAAGAGCGTGAAACCTCAGGCGACGTGTTTGTGATGTTTTGCCTTGGCTTTGCCTTGGCTTTGCCGCAGCCGCTTCAACAGCTTTAAGATGTGTAACTTCGACCTCTTTGCGGATTGTGGGGCAGCTCCATCTCGAGGAAATAAAATTGGAAGTTCCAACGACAAAGAGGCTGCAGTCTGGCCAAGAGCATTTGCTGCAGTTGTGACACGTGTTTCCAGGTGCCGTTGCCCTATTTGCCGTTTGCTTTCCAAGATCAATGTTCCCTTGTCCAGGCCAAAACCTTCAGCAACAGCGGGCAGCGAGCCCGACAAGCTCAAGGCAGGAATTTCTGGTCATTTCCGAAGAGGAAGAACACCTTTCCTTGTTGGAGACACCAATTTGATTTGCGTTTTTGAGGAACGCACGTAAAAATCATGTATATTCACTATGCCCCTAATGATTCTTATGCAGGTTGAGACTGCCATGGCTCTCCAGCCTTTGCAGCGAGTCTGGATCTCGCAAATATTCCACGTTGGTGCAGCATTGTGCAGCCTGATGCTGCGATGCCTCCATTGAGGTTCATGTGGAGCGAACGGCTGAGATTGAGGCAGGGTTTGGTCATAAACTGCACCTGCCATCAGATGAAAATCAGCTAACGGCCCTACCTTTTTGTCCAGAATGGTCCAGTATAGGAGCAACGTGCTCGACTACCAGCAGTGATGATGGAGTTGGTGACTTACTGATCTTACTGGTTATGCCTCAGGGATCCTCAAGGGGACCTGACATGCCGGGTCTACAGAGTCTACAGGATTTCCGAATTCCGGAGTGCCGAGGCAGGAGTTTGTAGAGATGGTGCTCAGCACCGACGTCATGTTAGTCCTCATCTCATTGCCCAAATTGCCAAATGTTGCGGACCACTGTGCAGCGCAGCTGCCTAAGGTCTGTGGTGATACAGGGTGTGGAAAGTCGACTCAGGTTCGGCAACTTTGGGGAACTTCAAGTGGTTTTCATTTGCAGCATGAAAATCCAGGTGCAGACGAGACAAGGGTGAACGAATGTGTTGTCATATCGAGACTAGCTTCATGATGGATGCTAAAAGGTCCCCTTTTTGTGAGAACATTCGCGCTCAGGTGCCACAATTCCTGTATGAGCCCATTTCTCAGCAACACCAAATGCGGCGAATGATCATGCAGTTGAAGGCGTTTATCCTGGGGGGAACTGGGGCTCCGAAGCTGTTTGGCTACACCACAGGCCGCGGAACATGGCAGTTATCATGGACTGGTCACCATGCGATCTAAGCAACCTCGGAACCTAGAGTGCAAGCAAAGATGGGGTTATTCCACAGGACTTGCCACACACACACACGCGCATGCAAAGTTCTAGGCTCATACTTCAATCATGTCAGATGAGCAAATGAGAGCTTAAGACGGGCATAAAGAGACAAAGAGGAGGAAATCCCCCCATCGCTGTCCATGTCATGGTGGCTATCGTGGCCTCCTCCGCCGAAGCCCAGCCCCCGCGACTCGACCAGGCCGAGGAACTCTTTCGGCCTCACCTGCCATGCTCTCCCAAGCAACTGAGACGGGTCTATCTGCAGCTGGCCTTGCGATACCATCCGGACAAATGCCATGGCCGTGGTGAATTGAGCAGTGCCACTGAGCTGTTTCAGGCCATTGCCGCCGTTTATGAACGACTGTTGAAGCTGTTGAAGCCGGGAGAAACTGGAGCTTTGCGGGTGAAGAGTCAGGTGGCAGCTGCTGCTGAACTGGGAGACTTGGAGGAGTTGGAACGACTTCTAAAGGAAGATCCGCAGAGGGCAGTAGAACTCGATGATTTGGGCGTTTGTCCCTTGATGTTTGCTGCGGCTGGGGGTCAGTTGGATGCAATTCGACTCTTGCTGTCTTATGGCGCCGATGTCTTGGCCAAGAATCCTATCAATTGGACGGTGACGCTCTATGCCTGTTTGGGGAACCATGGTGATGTGGTGCGCTGGTTGGTACAGAGTGCTGGAGCAAAGGTCACTGCACACGAGCTAATCCTGACGGCATACACTGGAAATTCAGAAGCACTCGCTGCGCTGATTGAGCTCTTCCAGGAGGGAAAGGGCGGTGAGAGGTACTGTCAGGACTCTTGATGCGAGCCATCAAGCTCAAGATGACGGCAAGCACTGAAGTTGCAAGCCCAACTAGCTATGGTGAGTATGGCATATAGTATAGCATCTTGATTGTAAACAGGAGCTTGCATATAACATATGCACCTGCACCACCCCACCCAACTGGCCTTGTACAGGGCTCCTTACCTGAGCTCCGAACTGAGAATGGAAAATCTCTGTTGCACTTGGCTTGCGAAGGTGCCTCACAACAGCATTTGGGGAATCCGATGGGGGGAGAGCTCAGGGACAGGTTTTCTTTTGGACCTCTTGGACACATGGGACCTCCTTCCAGCTGACGAGATCCTGCCAGGTCTTTGCTTCTTGAAAAGATCTCCCGAAGAGCACCTGAACTGCGTCGAGCAGCTGTTGGCCAAACATATTCCCGTGGATCAAGCTGAGCCCCAGCGAGGTCGAAGCTGCTTGCAGAACTTCGCGCCTTGGCCGGGAGAAGTGTGGTGGCCACTGGGGTTGGATCACACATGCTCTGATATGCTCCGATCCTATTCGCAATGTCATGACGAATTTTGCAAAAACCATGAAAAAAAACTGCAGAGTTGCAAAAGCTCCGAGAGATGGTTGGGATGCTGCAGGTGGATGATGTGAGATGGCACACTCGAAAGTTCGAAGATTCTCCCGCTCATTTGCTGGCCTTGGATCGGCTTTGCGAAGCAGGAGACGGCCGAGAGTTTGAAAACCCCGAATTTGAGCAAAGTGTTAGGCGACAGTCATGTGCCAATCATGTGGTTCAATCTGGTTTAGTTGGGCTCACTGAACATGATGTCAACTTGGTGCACTTTTTTTTGGGGGGGTGTTTTACTAAAAAATTACAGCGCGCACGCAGATGTGTGTGTGTGTACATTTCTTTGTTGCTAGATTTGACTGCTTACAATCCGGGCATCACAGGAGCGAGTGTGACTGTGGAGGATTTTGAAGGCAGAAGCGCTTTATCTATTGCTGAGGAGAGCGGCTTGCCAAAGATGAGGGAAGTTCTGTATTCTTACATTTGAAAATCAGGATTTGGGCATTGTCAACATGATTGCACAGATGGCAAGCCTCTCCAAATCTGGCAACGACCCCATGCGATGTGCCATGACCGATCAGCTCTTGCCATTTGCTTGTCACCAATTTAAACGCCAGCAAAAATGCTTGTGGGAACCCAAAGAGGAGGCCCTTAGGACAGGCATTGATTGCACGAAACGTCGAATCTTTCACAGCCGCAATCTGCTAATTCAGCAGAGCCGCGAGCTGTCCTTTTTTGCTGGCACTATCCGTGGACAGGCTTGAAAGTCATAACTTGAAGATGAAAAGATGAAGGAATGCTTTTACCATTGAACTTTGTTGGTCGTTAGCTTTCCTGACACTGGAGGCTTGGAATTTCATGGACTTTCAAGGTCATGCAGCAGTCATGCAGTCTTAAAGTCCTCCGAAGGTGTGGCCTTTGCAACGGAGAAGAGTTTCTCATTGGCGTGACCCAACCTCGTCGAGTCATGGCCCTGGTTTTGGTTTGGTGGGTCTGATTGCCACAATGCTGGCAACTGCACGTTGAGGTGGCAGCTATCTCTGTCTCTCAGATGCGGCCTCAAAATCCTTGAGAAGGTCATTTGAGCCGAGCCTTGATTCCATTTCGTCTCTGGTTTCCTTAAAACTCGTTGCACTGAGGCGTGTGGGCCAAGAGTTGAACAACTCAGGGAAAGTTGGCCATCAGGCTCGACAAGCGGCAAACTTCACCGATTTTGTTTCAATCCCTCAGCTGCGTGATAGATCATGTCCAACTGTTGCTGCCACGCAGGTTCGCTATGACAGGAGCAACTGCACCAAGGACATGCGGATCAAGTTCATGACGGATGGTATCCTCCTGAGAGAGGCCGGGAGAGGTCACCTCACAGCATTCAGGACCTAGGTTTGCTGCCTGCTGGCGTTGACCCTTTCAGCATTTCCGAATTTCCTGTAGGTGCAGGCCGACTTCCTGTGCAAAAAGTACACGGCAATCGTCATCGATGAGGCTTTGACATTATTGGCAGCTCAGATCATACAGATCACAGCTCTGAAGATGCCAACGATTTTCGTCACCGTCAGGCGCACGAACGTGGCGTGCAGCCTGCAGATTTCAGAGTGGCAGCAGATGTCTCGGTGGGTTTAGCTTTGAAAGCTTTGGTCTCCGTCTCTGGTCACATGCCAGGTGAACTGCGACATCCTGATCGGTCTCCTGTCACGTGCGGTGCAGCAACGGCGTAAGGCCTTTGAGGAGGCCATGCTGGGCCAGTGCGCTATGTTGATTTTGGGCTTCTGTTTTCAAGACCATTCTGACAGAGCCTTTGCTACTTCTACTTAGATTGTACTTTAACTGATGGTCCAGTCAGGCAGTTGCAGCCGGGAAGTTCGACAAGGACAAGCCGATTGATGGGCAGGCGGCGCCTCCCTTGAAGTTGGTCATGGCACCCAGCGCTTTACATCTGCAAAGGACGAAGACTGTGCTGTGTATTGCACTTGTTGTGCTTGCTTTTTGATTTCTAAGGTGATCATGTCAGCCACCCTGCGTTTGTGCGACTTTACCGAAAACCAGCAGTGACACGCTCAGTGCTCATCAGCTACTGCGCAGCTAGATCCTGCACCTCATGGACTTTGAACCCCAAGGCTTTTTCCGGTTCCTCCACCCGTTCTTCGCATTGATGCTCGGACCTTTCCCGCGTCTCGGATGAAGTTGTAGTGATTTGATCATGGGAGATACTTTGCAGGAGAGTAATTAGCTGGGGGAAAGTGATGGAAATGGGCCCAGGGAAGGGACTCAAAGATTGCGGTGTTCTCCATTTTGACCAATTTTTCACCGGTGAATTTCTCAAGAAGAAACGGTTCATGTCTTCACGCCTTGGAGTCGAAGGTAACCGTGCACTTTGGACGGAGAACTGAGGAGGACTACATCAAGGTCTCAACTGGTGTGGATTTTCAATGAATTTCATGCGTTTTACAATTTCCAACATATTCCAACTGAATTCCTTGCATCCCATGTCTGTCAGGCTGCTCATCGATCAGTGCCTCGACTTTACCAGAAAAGCTACGTATTTGATGCAGTTTTCCAGTGGTGATGCTGTGAGGTCCTGAAGATTCACAAAGATTTGCCACCTGGAACTATCCTGGTCTCATTCCCAGCATTCTCAGCATTCTCAGCCTTCCAACTGCACTGTACTGCGGCTGGACCTTGCAAGGTCTTTGTCACTGGTCGACAGGAGGTCCATCGTTTGTGCAGGCAGGGCCTTTCGTAGGGCACAGGCTCTTTGTTTGGATTGTTACTGTTCAAACTCAAGCAATGCCTTCATCTACAGCATCGTGATGATGATGATGATGATGATGCTGATGATGATAGCAGGATGCTCCAGCGAACCCAATTGCTCACCCGTCAGAGTGGCAAGGCGTGCTGTATGGCATTCTGTGCAACTGCTTTTGAAACTTTATTGAGCTCACAAGGGGCCATGATGCTGTGACTCAAGATGTTAGACTGGTAGACCCATTCTTCAATGGATAAATGCTAAAACATGGTGTAAAACATGCCCAAACCCTCATGCCCCAAGTTTGGGCTACACTACACCCAGATGTCGAGGCACTGGAGGAGGCCGCTGCGGAAGTAGCCGAGGAGGAGGACACTCGAAAAGAACCTGTCAGCTTTAACCCATTTGTTTTCCTCCAATTAGTTTACTGTTAGGGGTTCTTAATACTTTCTTAAGGTGTCCGCCTTGGTGTTGGATGGTGTGTCCGCCTTCCCGAGGGTCTTGTCTCCCCTTGTCTCCCCTTGTCTCCCCTTGTCTCCCCTTGTCTCCCCTTGTCTCCCCTTGTCTCCCCTTGTCTCCCCTTGTCTCCCCTTGTCTCCCCTTGTCTCCCCTTGTCTCCCTTCTTGTTTCCCTTTGTTGGATGGTGTGTCCACCTTCCCGAGGCCTTGTCTCCCCATTGCATTCTCTCCCCGCATGTGTGCCTGTGTTGGATGGTGTATTTACCTTCCCGAGGTCTTGCCGCCCCCTTGTCTTCCTTCTTGTTTCCTTTTGTTGGATGGCGTGTCCGCCTTCCCGAGGGTCCTGCCTCCCCTTGTCTCCCATTGCCTTCCTGCTTGTTCCCCAAACAGTGTGCCGTTAGGGGTTCTTAATGCTTTTTTAAGGTGTCCGCCTTGGTTTTGGATGGTGTGTCCGCCTTCGCGCGGGTCTTCTTTCCCTTTGTCTGCCATTATACCCCTTCTTGCTTCCCTTTGTTGGATGGTGTGTCCGCCTTCCCGAGGTCTTCTCCCTTTGTCTCCCATTGTCTGTTCCCGACGTCTTGTCTTCCGTTGTCTCCCCTTGTCTCCCTTCTTGTCTCCCTCGTGTCTCCCTCGTGTCTCCCTCCCACATGTGTGCCTGTGTTGGATGGTGTCTCTGCCTTGGATGGTGTGTCCGCCTTCCCGAGACCTTGTCTCCCCTTGTCTCTCGTTGTTTCCCATTGCCTCCCATTGTCTCGCATTCTCTCCCCGCATGTGTGCCTGTGCTAAACGGTGTGTCCGCTTTCCTGAGGTCTTGTCTCCCTTTGTCTCCCTTTGTCTCCCATTGCCTCCCATTGTCTCCCAGCTTGTCTCCCAGCTTGTCTTCCTTCTTGTCTCCCAGCTTGTCTCCCAGCTTGTCTCTCTTCTTGTTTCATTTTGCATTTTCCCCCATGCAGTGTACGGGTAGGGGTTCTTAATGCTTTCTCATGTGTTTGACGTTGTTCCTCAGAAGACTTCTTGAATCCACCCACTGTTTGGGGCCTACGGTGGTGTAATTCGGTGTTTTTTCTTTTTTCGGTTCCTCTGCTCTCCTGTAGCTAGCTAGCTAGATAATTAATAGCTAGCTAGATAGATAGACTATATAGGTAGATAGGAGATAGGTAGATAGGTAGATAGGTAGATAGGTAGATAGGTAGATAGGTAGATAGGTAGATAGGTAGATAGGTAGACAGGTGGATAGGTAGATAGGTAGATAGGTAGGTAGATAGGTAGATAGGTAGATAGATAGATGGGTATGGATCAATACCTATTAATACCATTTTTAGGGGGATGAACATCCATTTACCAGCTATTTTGATGTTCACCAGGGGTACAGGGTTTTGACACACTGCCAGATAGATAGATAGATAGATAGATCGATCAGATAGATAGATAGATAGATAGATAGATAGATAGACAGACAGACAGACAGATAGATAGATAGATAGATAGATAGACGGATATAGAGAGAGAGAGAGAAACGTTTTTGGTTCATGCGCAAGTTTGGCCAGTATCTGTTTTCACAGGACCAGACGGCTGAGCTAGATTTGGAAGCCTCCGACGATGAAGCGAACCTGTCCGAGTCGATGAACTCAGTTGTCACAGCAATTACCACAGCTAGTTGATGGCCACAGCTGACAAGGCCTGAAGAGAAGGCTCCGAAGATGGGTGATGATGAGTGATATGAGTGGCTGGAAGAGTAGAGTTGGGCCCTGGGTTCAGGGAACATTCGCTGTGAGAATGCCTTGCAGGAAGCTGCAAAGGACTCTGACGATGGAGAGGGCGGTAAAAGGCCTCCGACCTCCCAAAGTGTCTCTGATGTCTTCGCAGCTTTCAGAGTTGGCCAGGCCAAAGAAGACACCGAAGAGCAAGATCAAGCAGAAAACTGCTGCGCTCATCACCAAGCTGCTCTTTTCCAAGTGATGAAAGCATAAATGATATTGATATATTTGATATTAATCTTTGCCCATGAAAATGCCAGTTGCATGAGACTAGTATAGACTATAACTCAGTATAGACTAGTTGTGCCAAGGCCTGACCCTGAAGCGGAACCCACTACAGGCCGTGCCCTTGATGTCACAGCCGCTGCCAACTTGCCAAACCCTCCGGCAGGCGTGGAGCCCAGCGCTCCTGGAAAGCGGCGCAAGAAGTCGCGCAAGGCGGCTGCAACGAGTGCGACGAGTGCAGCGAGTGCGGCCCCTAAAGAGTCCAAGGACCGATTTGAACAGTTCGGCAATGGCAGTGTTCACCAGATCTGCAGCGCCATGACATGGCAATCCATGTGTGCAGGATGAGGAAATTGCAGATGAGGCTGGGTGGCTAGACCCTGATCTCCAAAGGGCTAGAGCGCACTGCCCCGCCTAATCTCATTGCGAGCTGGCGCCAGATGCCGGAGCTCTCCTTCGCCGTGGGCGAGGAGGATGTCTTGGTTTTGGAAGCAGAGGCCTGTGGATTTGATGCCAAGTCGGGAGGTTTGAGAGCGCTCTTTGCCCCTCCCTTTGCCGGAAAGCTGGAAAAGTATGGAAAAGTGGATTCAAAAGACATTGAGAGACCGGGGACTGATCACGAAAGGTAGCGTCAGCTACCTGAGTTCTCCGTGCTTCAGCACAAGCATAGGGGGTATTGGGGAGCCAGCCCGGGCTAAACGTGGAATTCTAGCCGTTATGTATTAGATATCAATTATAAGGGCCCCCCCCCGCGAAAATGGTCATGGGTTCAATTCCCACGGGTGACGCGGTCACGGTCCGCCACAGTAGAGGCATACTCTCCATGAGGGAGATGTCCCTGTAGTTCAGCATAATTGGTTTGCTTCAGCCTCAATAACAGTTGCTGCAAGGGGTCTTAAAAAGGGGTTTTAAATAAACCCCTTTTTATGCATCATTTCACGCTGCACAAGACACCGTATCATGCAGTCATGCTCTGGATAAAATCATCTTAGACTGCGCAAAAACGTTTTTGGTGTATCATCTTAGGTGCGCAGCATTTTGACACCACTCCTCTCCCACTACGCTACCTTTCGTCCGCCTCCGCCTGCTCTCAAGTGGCATAGGAGCTTGGTGGTGCTTTCAAACAAAGCTGGAAGTTGTACTGCCCAGGCCCAAGCGGAGGATGCCAAGGACGCAGAGTTGAAGAACCAGAGGAAGGTGAGAATGTCGAGGCTTGTGCTCTCACACATTTGTCTAGATCTGTGACACTCAGTGGAACCGCTTTTGCATCGGCTTGCGCTGTGGGAGGCTATGTATAATTCATAGATTCACATTGACATATTGTTTGAACACAACAGATCACGTCGCTCACCTAAAAAGCCAGAAGTCGACTAAGTCAAGGGCGCACAGTTTCTATCACTGCCGGCGCAGGCTGGACAAAAGCAGGACGGCTGGTGGCGTCTTCAAAGGCATTGGCTTTGGAGAAGGGTCGGTGCCCAAGGTGTTGGTGCCCGGACGGGAGCCATGTGGACCTAATGGGAAGCGAGTACCCATAAAGCAATGGTCTTGTGAATGAACTCAGAACTCAGCTGGTTGGAACCTCAGGTCGATGAGGGTTTTGCCACTCTATGCGCAGCAGGGAGCCTGGTTGTTCTCGTTTTTGTTCGCCCAGAGGCATTGACAAGGCATCCTGCCCAACTTGCATAGAGCTGCGCCAGAATGTTGAAAAAAGCATCCTGCCACGACCTCTCTGCAGACACCTGTCGTGGCTTTGTCCGGGGCGACCCGCTGCTCGTTTCTGGCATGATGTAGCCACAGGTTTCTATGCCGCAGGTCTGGCGATGGCCTTGCTAATGATCTTCCAGGCTTTGGGGCAAGGGCACCAGGGCCCAGCACATGAGGAGGTGCAGCTGTGTACATGAGCAATGCCTCTAACATAGCTGAGCTATCTGCCAGAGAAGCTGCTCGTCAACTCTTGGGGCTGTCTCCGCGCAACCAGCAGAATCTGGAGCGCTGGGTTGGAGGCAGCACCTTGCTTGCAAACAGATCCATCTGTTTGTGAGCCACTTCAAACTTCGAAGTTTATTCACTGTCCTACCCCCCACAGTTATCCACGTCCCTGGTGTTGGGCATTTCAAAACTCCATTCGGCACCGGGTAGCCGGGTAGCCCTGCAACCTGCAGCAACCTGCAGCAACCTGCAGCAACCTGCCGCCACCTGAAACCAGGCAGCTGGCGGCCCAAGCTCGTCACCTCAGTGCTGGGGGAGTTGGTCAAGCAGCCGTCCTGCCGGACCTTGGCCACGGCCGACACCGCCTGGCGTTTGTTGCAAGCGCTGGGGATGGGCACTCAGACACCACGGAGTGTTGCAGGTCATGGGGAAGGAAACACCCTGATGCCATAGCGAAGATCCTAAGACTTAGAACATCTTGGAATGGATTCGACCCATGCTGGTATGGGAAACTTAGGGGCCTAACGGCCCAACTGAGATCCAAGGAAATTGCAGGTGGAACTCAACATCTTTCACTACAACGGTGCCATCAACGTGTGCCAGAAGTGTAGCGCTTGGGAGTTGGCCATGGCATTCCTGGAGAAAATGCCCAGGAGGTCCATCCAGTAACTTGGAAACACCTGGTGTCACGTCAGATTTTCATCACGTCCTGGAGTCACCGGGTCGGGCGGGCTGAGGCCTGATGGTATCAGCTACAATGCGGTGATGGGAGCCTGTGGTGAGGCCTCCTGCTGGCAGCTGGTTCTTCACCTCTTGGGCGATGTGCCGTTGAATGTGATCAGCTTTAACACTGCTGCCAAGACCTTTGACAGGTTCGCCGAGAACAAACATGCTGCTGTTTAGTTCGAACTGGGGCAAGGAAAGTGCTGAAAGGAACATGGATTCATGGATGGGATATGATGGGATGTGAGCATTCAGAGTTGCCTCCTGTAGATTGGTTTGATTGATCTGTTTCGGTTTCCATCAGTTTCCATCTGTTTTCCATCTGTTTCCATCATGGATCTCCATGACATGACGCCGGCCATAGCCGGTCACCTGACAGGAGTGGTCACTGGCAGTTGGCGCTCCGCACGTTGGACCTCCTACGGGCAGCTAACTTCCAGCCAGATATGGTCAGCTATGGCTCAGTGATGAATAGCTTGGCAGGAGGTGGGATGGCACTGGCAGCAAGTTTCTATCTATACTAGAATCTATACATTCTACGTTCTATCTATGTTCTAATTGCCTGTCCATCTATCTATCTGTCAAACTATCCATCTACTTACGGGAGAATAGACAGATAGACAGGATAGATAGACATCAAGAAAGGGGGATTGAGCAGTTTCTAGCCAGCATGCAGATGTTTGCGGGTCTGGTATGCAGCATTAGAAAGCATTAGACTTAGACTCATTAAGACTTCGGGGGTGGCTAGCTGGCTCCTGGCTCTTGGTTTGGGTTCAGGAGGACGGTGGTGCGAAATTAGTAACATCCTGCAACTCATGCTGCTTGGCTGCTCTTAGCTTCAGGTTTGTGAACGGAAGTGATCAGTCTTGATTTGGTAGCTCAGAGTGGCTCAGCTGCAGGTTCACAGAACGCTTGGTGCCAGATTTGCTCTGCCTCTTGGTTCTAAGTGTTTTTTGTAGCCAAATGATTTGTTTGCTGCATCCATATGGGCCAAGTTGCACCAAACATGTTTGCAAATTGTTTGTCAGAGCTGTGAGGTTATACCTCCTTCATCAAAGCCTGCAGCAAAGAAAAGCAATGGCTGCTGGCCATGCAGATGTTGGTTTCCATGGCTGAAGCCCAGGCTCAGTGGTCATTAAGCGTACTGAGCTGGACTAGTAAATGTCTTTTATTTCTCCTTGCCTGGTTCGCAGCCGTACTTCGAGCACATTTGGCGCCACAGCTGTGCAGGTGGTTCCAGACCTCATCAGTTGCAGCTCAGCCATTGCCAGTTGCAGCGCGCAGTGGAGAATTTCTCTGGCCTTGTTCGACATTGCCATGACTGCCATGGCACCGGATGTGCCGATTTCCAATGCCCTGCTGATGTCGTTCTCCAGTCACTGGAAGATGGCCATGTGCTTTTTGCGGAACCTCGCAGGGCTCAGGATCCGAGGTGATGAAATTACGCAAAATTTGGCTTCTGACAGTTACATCAAAGGAACACAGTGGCCATCAGCTCTTGGGCTGTTTGACCTTGACCACCATCTTCCGGCTCGTGTTTTGCCATTGGATCAGTGGCAGGCTGCTCTGCGGACACTTGGTTCATTTATCACCCCAGAGCGAGTGAGTCAGGCAGCGGAGCACGCCTCAGCTCAAAAGTGGCAGTTGGGCTTGGCCATTTTCGAGCAGATGGATTTGGCAATGGCGACTTTGCCCGCAAAAGAATGGGGGGAAACACCAGTGCAATCTACAACCTACACAGCTTCTGAATACTTTTGCAAATGAAAAGCGTGGTGACTCTTTGAATTCTGAATCCCTTGCCTCAGCGCCTAAGGTGCAGAGGGATGAACGCAACTGGAATGATGCCGTGGCAGCCTGTCAGAACGATGCGTGGCCACTGGCACTTCACGCCCTACCTGTGCTGCTGGCTGCACGTTTGTCGCCCTCCTCGACATACCAGGCTGCCATCCTTGGAGGTCACAACCTGGAGATGTTCACGAAGTGCAGAGATTCTATGACTCCTGCAGCTGCATGTGGAACAATGGCAAGGTTGTCAGTGAACGATCCCAGAGTCATACACTCCAGCATGGTCGCTGCAAGCTGTGCGTTGGATGATAGCTGGAGTCCACAGGAGTTGTCCTTCCTTTGGTGGTCTTGTGCCATGCTGGGGGTGAGCAACCCTTTGCTCTTTCACAAGCTGAAGGATCCTTGCCACAATTGAATGCAATTGATGGAGGCATCTGCCAGGCAGGATCTTTACAACAGCATGATAACACTAGGACACTAGGATCCTGGAAGGATGCCATGATGTAGTGAAAATCATATGCTTGCCATGTTGGGCCTACCGAAGCGAAGTTGGAGCCATAATTATGATTTTTAATATTGAGATTGAGAAACTGAGAGTTTCAGATACTTTCAGAGTATGGGCTGTTTGTGGCTGTTCGGATCAGTTCGGACTAGACATAGGAAAATCCATTGCTTCTCCCATGGATCGGCCGTGATTCTCAGGAGATTTGCCTCATCTCCCTGCGCCTCATGAGCTCGGAGGCGATTTGGGATGGGACAACCATGGTGACCATGTCCTGGTCCTGAAGTGCTCATGAAATGGACAAAATGATTACAAAATGGACAAACTGGACATCTTAGTTATCCAGGTATCCAATAATTCAATAGTTATCCTTGGTTAATCCCCGTGATATGGAGTGGTCTTGTGAATCTCTAAGCCAGTGCAGGGCTTGTTGGCTTTGGCCATCGGTGCTAGCGCCAGCGTGAACGATGTCATTGGCAACGACGGATCCCAGGCTGCGTTTGGAAGTCCCAAATATCATCTCCCTCCTCAACGCCCCATGATTGAACACGTTTTTTTGGAATGAACAAGTTCTTTAGCCAGTAGATTTGGAGTTGAATAGATCGCTGCAAATGAAAAGCGTCCATGAATGATGATTTGTTTAATCTTTTTTTTACAGCTTCAGTAAGGGCTGGCTGTCCTTGGCGCTGTGCAAGACGAGATTTCTTCACGGCTGAAGTTGGAAGTGCACCTTTCCCACGCTGACATCCTCGGAGTAGTCTCTGCATGTAAATTAGTTGGAAACGTGCAAGGGCGGTTGGAAGAGAGGGTTAAGAAGTTTCTGTACCAAGTTGGTGCCAAAATGGACCAAGTCGCTGTGGGTGGGATCAAATTGAAACCACGGAGGGCATCGATGCTCATGGACTTCAGAACATTTGCAGGCAATGCGTCGGTGCCTGCTGCTTCTTGGCAGCCTCATTCCTCATGTCGCCGTGAAACTGCGAGTGAAAACTTAGACGAACTGGCTCGCATATTGTTATTGTCATCGTCAGTAGTAATTTACAGTAATCCTTTTGCCATTTATCATCATCATCATCATCATCATCACCATCACCATCATCACCACCACCATCACCACCACCACCACCACCATCACCACCATCACCACCATCACCACCACCACCGTCACCGTCACCGTCACCGTCACCGTCACCATCACCATCACCATCAACGACAAACTCTATCTCATCAACTTCAAAAGCAATCTGCCGTTCATGGCTTACAGGTTGTGCTCAATCTCTTGGACCGGGCCGTGCTCTACAAGCCGCCTGGATGGGAGGTACATGACGAGCACTTGCCCAAACAGCTCCGAACTTTTGCCCTGGACCTGTCCTCAGTATTTGATGTGCTGCTTCAGAGCTCCAACATGTTCCGTGGCATCATGTCTGATGGCCTTTGCTGAGGAGGCTTTCCCAAACAAAGCCATCTTGCAAGACGTGGCGCACAACTGTGGCTTTCTGCATCGCTTGGACGTTCCAAATTCGGGGCTCCTCTTGTTGGCCACGTCCTATCGGGCCTATTACGAGCTGCAGCTGCAGCTGGCGGCTGGAAGCCTCCAGCGCGACTACCTGGTCCTCGTCCACGGAGTGGCCTCGTTACGAGACCTCGGGGCGCGGGTGCAGCGCAGGGGCGAACGGAGCGTGGCAGGGGGCAGAGGAAGGCCCAGCCATAGCAAGGTGGTGGAGATTGCGAAAATGCAAAGTTGGGAACTGAGTTGTGATTAGTTGATATTATTGTTTGATGGCGATGACTCAATGACTTGGTGCTTGCTTAATCTAGTTACTTACTTTTGAATGTTTTTGAATGTTTTTGGATTCAGTCCAGGCGCCTTCACTCTGATGTACTTGCGGATTGTGACTGGGCGCCAGCATCAGATTCGATGCCATTTGGCACATGTTGGACATCCAGTCGTTTGCGAGGCTTTGCTGAAGCAAGCCAGTTTTCAACTTTCTTTCTTCAGCTGTTCAGTCATCAAAATTTGCAATTCCAGTAGCACTGAACTCATCCTTGACAGCCAGGGTCTGCCATCAACAGCTTCAGGATGGCTTGTACAGCAGCTCTGGGACTTTCCAGTCAGATTGTGGCTGGTGTCCCCGAAACTGGCTGCACCGATGGCGCCTGATCTTTCACCATGAAACACGGAAGCACCAGGTGTCGATGGCACTTCCAGCAGACTTGGCCAAGACTTTGGAGCCGAAGGTAAGGGAAGCTGCTGGAAGATGGGCCAAAAATGGTGCGATGCAATCCGTGATGGTGGGGAGGAAAGGGCGTTGAAGGATGGTAATGAGTAATGATTTCCCTAGGAAAACAAACAGAAACTTTCATGTAACACATCATCCGTCCTGTAGTGTGGCTTTCAGTATTTCTACATGGAGGTAGCCTCGGGGTGAAGGACAGATAGTGATAGTCCTGTCGGACCCGAGGTTGGAAGGCACTAGACACAGAAGACCTTTTGTGCTGACCATGTCTCCACACTGGAGCAACTGTCCTCACTGTTCTGATTAGGCTTTTCCTGATATATTGGGGATACTTGGACTGCGGATTCGGACAGAAAACCTAAGACACGCATCGAAGGACTGTATTGAGGCGATTCTGTCACGCGGCTCATGTCATGTCAGAAACTCAATTCGGCAGGGTGCAACACCACGTGAGTCTGTAAGCTCCAACATGTTGGAGTAGGCAACACAGCATTTAGGCCATCTAGGCTCAGGTGTCTCGTAGCCAGCGATCTCGCTGCCATGAGTAGAATTGGTAAAGGACCTGCGCTTCGTGAGGTCACGAAGGTGGCAGGTCGATCTGTCCAGAGCATTCCAGAGCCTTCAGCTGTGCATTCAGTGCTGGATGCGGATGTTTGTTCAGCTGGGTGCTGAGATGTGAGAAATGTGAGCAGTGGCCATAGCAGATGACCGGCTGGGAGGAGGCTGTTGGGCTCTCAGGTGTGGCGTACGCAGCAGGAGCAAGGCCAACGCTGATTTCCTTTTCATCGCTGATGAAATCTTTCCAAAGAGGAGGGCAGTGGGAGGTGGCAATTTGCGTTTCACATGCGTTCCTTCAGCGCAGCAACTGGGGTAAGGTGGACCCAATCTTTTGCAGCATCATGTCCGATAGCTGCGGGATAGCTGGACGCTGGGCAAAGGTGCTGGAGGTTGTGTCCCAGCAAACGTGTCATGCCGTGGAAGTGGATGCCTTGAGCTGGGGTGTTGGTATGTCTGCATGCAAAAGGACAGGGCAGTGGCGAGAAGTCTTGGCCTTGATACTGGCTATGTCACTATTGGGCGTAAGGCGCACCACACGGGTAGCTAATGCAGCCATTGGCACCGGCCACTGGGAGGGAACCATGATGTTCCTTGAGGATCTGATGTTTTGTTTGGTGCGGTTGGACAGTGTGACGTTGAATTCTGGCCTGGGCGTTTGTGACAAAGCCGCGCAGTGGCGGCAGATCCTTCAGCTTTTGACGAGAAGTGAATACTTTCTGCGCGATGACTGCGATGACTACTCCTACAACTCCGCCATCAGTGCCCTTCAGCGCGTTTCTTCATGGCAGGTTTCCTTGGAAGTTCTGCTGCGACTTCCCCAGATTCGTTTGAAGTTGGATGCCTTCAGCCTCACAGGAGCACTACAAGCTGCTGCGGTGGCAGTTCAATGGCAGCGATGTCTGGGTCTGGGGCTGCAAAGAGGTGTGGTGACTCAAAGTCCAACCATGGCCGCGTGCCAAAGAGGTCAGAAGTGGCAGCTGGTGCTATTGCTGATGAGCGATCTGGGATCTATGGGCAATCTGCCGGACGTCCTTAGCTACAATGCTGCAATGAGTTCGTGTCAATCCCCAGCGTGGCAGCAGACACTGACCTTTCTGAGAGAGCTGCAAGCAAAACAATTACAATTGGACCCAACGTTGTACAGCAATGCCATGACGGCCCGAGTGAACGGTTTGTGGTCGGACTGTTTGGCATTCCTTTCGAGCTTCGCAGCTCGTTTTGATGGTGTTGCGCTGGTGTCAGACGCATCGGCCACTAATGCAGTGATCCATAGTTGTGCCCAATTGAATGGTTGGGATGCAGCCATTCATTGGCTCCGGCAGCTGCGGCATGATATGCTCAGCTCGGTCCTGATTCTGGACGCTTGTGCCCGAAGCGACCAGCCCCACTGGGTGCTACAGACCTCGGCGATGCTGACAAAGCAGTTGGAGGCTTCCCTGCTCCAAATCTGGAAAAGCAATTGAAAAGCACCAGCTGAAGGGACTTCAAAAGTAGAAACCTTGCCAAAGCGGGGCGGGTTTGGGGCAGCTGTTTCACATGAGTCACACGGTGTCGGGCTTATGTTCTACCGGGGTGACTTAATGGTAGGGTGGGCCATGCGGCCATGCTACAGTTCTAGGAGATCTACGGCCTGGTTGGACTGACCTAGGGAGCTTTTGAAAGGTCAGAGCCTGCGTCCCCACCTCTCTGTCGAAAACACTTGGGAGCCTGCAGTTTGAGGTACTTGGGGAGCATTCTAGTAAACATGACGTGCAAGTGGTTGATTCTAGTTTTGGCATTTGTTATATAAAGTTTAAATATGTAATATGTATAAATGCAGAAATAAAAAGAGAACATACTAATAATACCACATATTGGGAGTCGAAAGAGCTGTGATGCCATTTTGACAGGACTTCCGTGGTCCATGACAGGATTCGCTAAGACGTGGCTCAAGCCAAAAATTTGGGTGACAGTGCCTTTTCCAATCAACATTCAAACACCCCAAGAGATCCTGACGTAGCCCTTTTTCACGGAGGTTGTTGAACTTCACGAAACTCATAAATCATTTAGATTCAAAGATGTTAGAACTGTTAGAAGTTTAGATCACCCTTCTTTTCTTTTCCTGGAAGTTAATCTGATTCATTTCATGCCACGACGCAATGGCACAGCCATGGGCAGGGATGGCGCGGATGGATGAATGCTTGGTGCATCTTGGTGCCCTGCCGGTGGCCATGGGTCCCATGGCTTACCACGGCCGCCTCGACCATGGCACGGTGGCCGATGTCAGGCGTGCCAGGGCACGGACAGCAGTGCAGGTGCTATGGAGGAGCTTCTCAGGAGGGGTCCAAATGTGAAGATGAGTCAAGTGGAAATGGTGCTGGGACCTGTGCTTGAAGATTGGTGGTGGAAACCTCAACTGGCCACAAAGGCTTTGAAAAACTTGGCCACAAATGGGTTTCCAAGGACAGCTTGCCAGGTGTTGGAGCTGTTGCGCCGGCGGAACATTGGTCCAACCATTCTCCAGTACAATGCCGCCATCCACGCCTCGAGCAAGCGGGGCTATTGGATGACTGCCTTTTCCATTTTAGATTCCATGCGGATCAACTTGGTAATGCCGGACCTTACTAGCTGCAACTCAGCAATGAGTGGTGCCAACTGGCAGATGGCATGGCAACTTTTTCGACGGCTCCCTGCCTTGGATCTGCTGCCTGATAACTTTGCCTTCAACTCCCTTCTGGCTGCCTTAAAGGTTCTCCGACAGTGGCAGTTGGCCTTGTTCTTCTTGCAGGTGGGCTCATTTTTTTGGGGTCATGACATGCATGGAATACCTGAATGATGAAGGTAAGCTTCTCCATGGCAGGCGAGCAGCGACACCGGCCCTGGTAGGTGAATGGCAGCCATTGCCCTGATGTGGTGGGCGTCACAAGTGCCATCAGCACCTGTGCTGCCGCCAAGGCCTGGAGCTTTGCCCTGCAGATTTTCAGCACAGGAAACGCGGCCAACGCCATGACTTTTGGAGCTGCGTTGAGTGCTTGTGACAAAGGCTCACAGTGGCAGTTGGGTTTGGCGACCTGACTGCACCCTCAGCTACAATTCGCTGATGGTTTACTTTCAAACTTTCAAGAATCGTCAGGTAGGATAGATATGGATGTGCGCGAATTTTTGTCGTTTGTCGGTCGAACTTTGGTTTTGGTTTCTTCCTTTGGACGATCTTTGGGTTGGCCATGCATCCAAGGACATTTTTGGAGGAATCAGCGCGCCAAAACGAAACCCTATCCTTTGCAATTCGTTGATTAGTGCCTGCGGAGCGGGGGGCTGGCAATGGGCATTGGCATTGCTGGACGAAATGGAAGCAGATTCTTTGCAGAGAGATCTCTGGAGTTTCAGCGGTGCCATAAAGGCATGTGGCAAGGCAGGCCATTGGGAGGGTGCCTTGATACTTTTTTTCTCAGCCCAAGCCCTACGTTTGGAGGTCAATGAGGTGATGATAAGTAGCACAGTGAGTGCTTGTGCCAAAGCCAGCCGGTGGCAACTAGCGTTTCTGCTGGTTGCATCGGCGCCGCAGATGTCAAACGCCTTCAGCTTTTGTGCAGCGATCAGCGGCCAGAAATCTTGGCCCCTGGCGCTGCACCTGTTCCGAATGATGTCACAGACCTCCGTTGAAGGAGATCTCGCGTGTCGGAATGCTCTCTTCCTGGCCTGCCGCCAAGCCGGAGCTTGGCAGCAGGCATGGACCAGTGTGGAAGGCCAGACCTCGACAAAAAATGCTGAGGCTGAAGCTCCAAAAGGCATCAAAAGGCTGCATCCCTATCATCCCACACCATTCTATATCCCTTTCTCGGACTTTTAGATATCTGATCCATTCTGCAACCAGTGCATTCTTAGTCATTCTTCTGAGGCTGTCAGCTGCCAAGCAGCTGGAGCCATTCAAGCAGCCCCCAGAGGCTGAGCGCGTGGCTGGATGCTTAGTCTTTTGTAAGGAACCTGAATGCTGGACCTGGGCTCCTCATCCCAACATGACCTCAGTTCAGGCGTATGAAAAAACATGACTTGATCAGAAAGAAGCAATTTTCATGGGAAAGTCGTGTCCCTTAAGATCGTCAAGGGCTCATGCCGCGGACGGAGGGGAATTAGGCACCAGAAGGCCTTCAACAAGTCCCGCAACACAGCCATCTTGGGAACCCCGCACAGTGGATGGGAAAGCACCCCACACGCGACTATGTGTGGCTTATGGCAGCTATGATTTTCTGCCCATAGCCAAATCGATGGTGGTTGAGTTTTGTGAAAGCGCACTAGGGTTTGCATCCCGCAGCGCCGTAGCTTAGCCGTTTGCGTCAACATGTTGGGAATTGGCGGCGGAGGTGCTTGAAATCCTTGCTGTGAGGTGGTGGTTTCCACAAATGTGGCAGAGACATCTGCTGGATGCTCAGGAAGATGTTCTGGGAAAATGACAGGCGATGCACGACCAATTTTTTTGCCGAGGTCACCTTGCCCAATGTGTCAGACACCCAGATTTTATCGGATTGATATTTGTGTCATTGATAGTTGAGGTAGCCGTTGCCGGGCCATGAGAGACCTTTTTAACTTCATGTTGATTGGCTTGGACATGTTTGGACAATGGTTTTGACGAACCTGCAGCGCCAGAACATGCCATACTGCAAGCTGTGCGCTGATCGTTTCAGGCGCTATGTGGTAGACTGTGGTCGGGAAAAGCGTCGGAGGCCGATGGCCCAAAGAAAGTATAGAAGAAATGTCACAGAACCAGTCCCACCATGCTACAGGCGCTGTATAAGATGTGAAATATTGAACTGCCCTCGCTCTGTTGGCTTCTCGGGCGGCTTGCTGCTGAAAAGCATTGGCCTTCATTTACACATCAAAGGCCAAATCAAGATCCCATGCCTTAGTTATGGGGCTGCAGTGACCACTCAATCAATTGCCTACAGTCTGCAGCATGATACAGCCACACTCATCAGCCAGTCACAACTTGTGATCAGATTCTGTCAGATCTTCTCGATGTGACGACTGATGGCCCAGCGCAGCCTGCCATGTCAGATGGACCTGGTGTGGACCCAGCAGCAGCCCTCTCCTTGGAGGGGCCATCGCTGCAGCGCTATGCTGTTCGACTGTCAGAGGTTGTCATGCAGCAGCACGCTGCCCGGAAGAAGGATTGGAAGAACTGGCAAGGGAAAGAGGAGGAGTTGAACGATGAAATTCGAGAATTTAGAAGACAAGTGCCTTGACAGAGATCGGTGCAGTTGGGTCCGGCCTCCATCATGGCTCCTTCACCCCCAAAGTTTCGCAGGCTTATAATGGTTTATAATGGTTTACACTATTATATACCAATTCTTCACCAATTGTCCAAGATTTTTCCCATATTTTTCCCAATATGTGTCCCATTTTGTGTCCAAGGTGGCCACGGAACAGCAGGAACGGGACCAAGCCGTTGGTCGCGAAGTGATCCTGGAGCAGGAGCTGCGTGCTGAACGTCGCCGGCGCATCGACATGGAGGCGCAGGTCACCTTGGCGGATTCCTGGAAGGCCGTGTCCAACGGTGAGGTGATGATTGATGGCTTTTTATATGGTCTTATGATAATCTTATGATGAATTCTATTGATTCTATTGAATTATGATGTTTCATTGGGGTTTCAACGGCATTTTACCATCTGTAGCTCGTACATCTGCAGTTAATTATTTATGAACTATGCGGTTTTCATCGGTTTTCCGATCTTAGTGGCCTGGGCTTTTTTCAGTGATTGCGATGAAGTGATTAAGAAATCGCTCCAGAGGCAGAGGCTGCGGCCGCAGATCGCGCAGCGCGGATGTCGAGTTCCAACGCCGCTCTGGCGGCCTCTGCAGAAAGTGAAGCGGCCAGGGAGTGGAAACGACAAGCCGCTGAGGCGCGCCGCGCCGAGGCCAAGGCTATGGCTGGACAACAACGGGCAGAACTGGCTGCCCAACAGGCACGAAAGGACCATTTGAATCCATTTGAGGGGTTTGAGGTTTGGAATGGTTTGGATACTTGAGCGGAATCTTATGTATTGGATACTTGAGCGGAATCTTATGTATTGTGATGTATTGTGCAAATTATGTGATACACCTCTGTATGTGATATCATATCATGTGTCTAGCTGGTACCTTTCTTCTGTTTTTCCAGATTGTGATCGAAGTCAGCCCTGCCAGGACCTGAATTCGCATTTGGAGGAGCGGGAGCAGCAGTTCGGCCAACGAGTTCAGATGGCCCGCGCCAGTGAGGCGGAGGTCCTGGCTGAGGCCTGGCGCATGTCCGGCGAGCTCCGCAGCGAGTTGGACGCCGTGCGTTCCGGTGAGGCAGCGCCACCCAGCCAGGACAGCAGTGCGCGACAGGCCCTGCAGGACCTCAGGGAGCTGCGGCAACGTTACAACGACATGTTGGGATAGTCATGGATAGTCACGACTAGTGACGAGGGGCGATGGAGGGATGGCCGATGGCTTCAAGCCATCTCAAGCCTTGCCAATGTGCAGGGGCACCAGCCATGTGCGGAAAAAGGAGTTTTGGATTGCAAGGCTGCGCATGATGACTCATTGACTGCTGACTTGAAGGGGATGAAGGACAAACCGGATGGATCGAAATTGGGAGCTGCAAGGCCCAGAGGATCCCCGTAGCAAAATACGCTAAAGAGATCTAAAGTGAAGAAGTGGACAGACATTAATTAAGAGACAGATCGCATTGTTCGCACACGCACACAGATACATGTATATTTATATACATATTATTATCATATTATACACACTATCACCATATAATATATGTTCCGTTCATGCGGTCACACTTGTATTCAACTTGATGATGAGGTACAAAGCTTCTTCCGGTGCCTCATCCTTCGCCATCGACAGGCTGAAAAGGGCATGTATGGAGAGTAATGCCGGTGATGATCAGGAAACTCGGAAGAGAGAGTTTCTTTCAAAAAATGCGCGACCAAATTCACGTTGAAATGAAGCAGCATTACGCAAGGTCAGTGTAACCTCATTCATTGTGAGCTCTTTTCACCTTTTGTCCCTTGCCGATTTTGATTGGCAGATGGTACGTGTCTCCAGGATTTCCAAGGCATCAGCTGATCAACGAGCTGGGAGAGTGCGGGACTCAATCGATCTTTGTGGGAAGGAGGTGTCTAGTTCCATGCCAGAGGCAGGGCTTGTGACACTGATCATGAAGAAAACTTCTTGGTACTGAACCATCCCAACCTTGACAAAGTCCCACGGCGATGGTCCCACTGCAAGATTTATACAGAATCAAAGTGCAATCGAATGATTTTGACTACATCTCATTATATTTCTATTGCTCTAATTGAAGGCTCGAGCTTGGAAGTTGCTCAGCAATGGAGTTCGATGCTGGCCTGACTGTGCACCGGTGGCAATGGCGCCTTCCGGCGTCGCCCCGCGTTGGATGCTCAGGAACTTCCAGCTCTGCAGGCCTTCACCGCCTCCCAGGGCCTGCCAGCCTTGGCTTCGTGGCCGTGGCCGTGGCCCGCTGGAGGCATCAGCCACGGGCCTTCCACGGCCGAGCGGTTGGCCGTTTCGCTCAGCCACTGCCTGAGGCCTTGGAGCAGTTGACCAAGCTGTCGAAAAAGGGAAATTCTGCCAAAGCAGCAGAACTTTTTCAAGAAATCTTTCCACGACTACCAAAGGAACGACAGAAGAAGCCCATGCTTTGGAATTTGGTCTTAGCAGCATTTTCACACTCTGGGGATTTCGATGGGGCCCTTTGGTGGTTTAAGAAGATCAGGGAGGCAGGTGTACCAACCAACAAGAAGGCCTTTGGGAAGATGATGGAAGCTGCTGCGCGTGCTCAGAGACCTGACCTGGCCAAGGAATGGATGGAGAAACTTATGCATGAGCTCGGTGCGGAGGTGGATCCGGAAGTCATCAGCATCCTCCTATTTGCGTATGCGAAGGATGGGAAAGTGGACAGTGCCAAAGAAATGTTGGAACAAAAGATTCGGTCAGGACACGCGAACTTGATTGACTACAACACTGTGGCTGATGCGTATGCCAAGAGAGGACGGAGCCAAGACGTGGCAATTGTGGCTAGCTGCATTGTTTGCATTGGGCAAAGATGGCAAAGACTTTTAGGAAAAGGTATGAAAAGGTTGTGGTTCTGCCGTATTGTAGCAATAATTAAGTCATGCCATCCATGCCATCCATGCCATCCATGCCATCCATGCCATCCATGCCCTTTTCCTCCTTCTCATATCTTCTCATCAACATCATCAGCACGAGACCAAAGCTCAGGTCGAGAGGATGCTGCAACAGGCCGAAGAGGCTGGAGAGTGCTTGGACAAGACCAGCTACACGGTGCTGATGAAGGCCTTTGCACGGAGTTCCCAACTGACGGAGGCTGCAGAGTGTTTGGAGTCCATGCAGGTGGCCCAGCTGATGCCCGACATTGTGATGCACAACACCCTGCTGAATGCGTATTGCAAGGAGAGGAAAGTCACAGAAGCGAGGCTACATTTGCATCAGATGATGCAGTCACAGTTGAAGGTGGATGCCTTTTCCTTCACTCCTATTGTGCAAGTCTGTGCGAACTCAGGCAGTTTAGGGGATGCTGTGGCTTGGTTGGAAGCCATGCGTGTGCGTGACATTCCTCCAGATGTGGTGGTGTACACCACTGTGCTCAATGCCTGTGCGAAGAGGGCAGATGCACAAGTTGCCACCGAGGTCTTTGGGATGCTTCGAGCTGCCAGACTGCAACCAGATACCGTAGCGATGAATTCGCTTATCGACTCGTGTGCCAAATGTCGTGATGCGGATTCTGCCCTGGGCTACTTGGAGGAGATGAAGCAGATGGGATTGAAACCATCCATTCGAAGCTACACCTGTGTGTTGGTGGCCTTGGGCCAGCTGCTGAAGTTGGAGCAAGCTTTTGAATTATTGGAAGAAGTGATTTCTTCCGGCTTGCACCCAGATTTGGTCTTGTACAACGTGCTCTTGAATGCATGTGTCAAAGCAGCAGATGCAGAAAGAGCTCAACAAATCTTCCAAAAGATGTCGGCGCAGGGCATCAAGCCCGACGTGCAAAGCTACAGCGCGCTGGTGAATGTCTATGCTGCACTGGGACAGGTTGAGGCTGCTGCCAATGTGATAGCAGATATGCAAGAAGCAGGTGTAAGTCCCAACAAGTTTACATGGGCTGGAATGCTGAAGGCCTGTGATGTGGCAGCAGATTCTGTTTGGGCTTGCGTGACCTTTCGCAATTTGGTGAGTTTCGGCACCCAACCGGATGAGTTCTTGGTGAATCACTTCGAAAGGATCGTCGGACCAGGTTTGGCTCGCAGAATTATTGGCAAACGTGGCCTCAAGATGAGGCAACTACATCACTGACGTGCAAATATGCCGACCAGTGGGGATATTTTTTGCTTTGGTCAAATCCAGCGTGTCTGGAACCCTATGCTGAAGTGCGAAAAAGTCAGAGTGGAAGATGGCAAAGAAACAACTATAGCAGCTTAAATGGTGATGGTTGGAAATGTTTTCCGAAGTCACATCAGCCACGGTGACAAGTGGCAGAGTTGCACGACTCAGGTAATCAGTTGGGAATCAGCTTTTCCTTAAGAGTTTTGCCGTCACAGCATCCCCGGCATCCCTGGCATCTTCATTTCTCTCGAGTAAGGCTGGCCGTTTGGGTCCAGGGCATTCATACCGCTTGGGCCTTGGATGGGGGTGATGGCGGTGATGTGTTCTTGCGCATGAAATGCTGAAAACCTTGGATTCAGATGGAGCATTCAATTTGGTGCTTAGGCCTCTACTCCTCAGCCGCCTTTGAGAATTATTTTCCAAAGTTTGCGCCTTCCTGGCATGGAGTTTACTCCTGGCTGTTTGTGAGAATGTGGTGAGGCGCCAACTGCCACGGTCACAGCCAGGCCGCTGCAAATGCTCCACACACCGATGGATCCAGTTTTGCCAAACTGCCTGGTTTTGCCCCAGCAGCATCCTACTGCATTTGCATCCATAGAATGCAGAGAATGCAATTTGTCAAGGTTGCTTTGATGCATGAGACTCACCAATTTAGGCTTTTGGCAAGGATTTGGAGATACTTTAAATCTGTGAAATCTCGTGCAGTGACTGCAAGATATCAACCTCACTGCAAGAAACTCTATATAATCTGACTTGATCGGTTCCTGGGGTTCCTTTGCTTCTTGGCTCAGCCGCCCCAACCGCGCTGAGCTGGTTTGGGGAGGACCTTACCATCAAGTGCCTGAGATGCACGAGGGGCATGGAGGGCCAAAGCCGGGAAGAATTGGATGTAGCTGATCGGAGCTACATCCAATGTTTCTGATATTTTCTGATCCATTGAAGCTGTGATTGCCTGTTTGCTGTCAATCTGAGGCACCTTACCCCTACGTCATCCGATATCAATTGGCCTCACGCCATCCATGTTGGTTCCTTAGCACTTCGGAATGGCATGCTGTGAAGGTTTCTAGAAGTGGCCATGGCCATCATGACGCAGCCAGGACTAAACTACTACGGGCCTTGTTGGTCTTCCGTATTTTTCAGCGTTTCAGCGCTGAAAGCCTCGCAGCTGAATGCCAACTGGGTACGCAGCTCGTGCGAAACTTGAGTCGATTTCTCCCCATGTGGCAGTTTCTCGCACAGCTTGTGTCAATTTGAATGGCAGAAGCGCAGGGTTAATGCGCTCCTTGAAACTGTTGTGAGGATACATGAGCAGAGCAGCCTGGTGCAACGGAATCACACTTCGACCAAAGTAATGCTAGTGAGCGATGCAGTGTGACTTGGCGTGGTCTGATGGATTGGGAATGAATCCTTGTACAAAGATGTACAAAGTACTAGCATCGCACTTTTTTCCACATGTTTTCCCAGAAGTTCTGAAGATTTTGCAGTGCAGCTTCAATTTTGCATTGGGTGGTATGGTGATGCGAACAAGGATTCGAACCGACAGGTCGTACAGGTCACGACTGTTCTCTGAAGCTTTCTTGGCATCGTGCGGAAAGCATATGGTTCTGGCACTCTCTGGAGCATTTCCTGAGCAGGTCACCCAAGATCCTGAAAGATGTATCCATCTTGGGTCTTAGTACGTCGGTCTTAATCAAATCTGGTAGCTGGTATATATACATATCACATATATTCACACATCATAAGTCATATAATATTTATATTCACATTTGAGGCACATACATGGTCATACTTTTCAGATTCCGAACAACTATGAGGAGCATGGAGTGGAAAGCCCATTGCTGGAAAGGGTCTTCTAAGATCTTCTAAGGTGTCATTTTGATTCATTTTCTATTCATTTTCAAACAAGGCGTTGTATCCTGATGTGCCCGGATAGAGCTCCGATTTTTTCATGGCCCTGAAGGGGAGCTTTCCCTTGGAAGTCTTCCTTCCAGTGGGCTTGCTTCTGGCCATGCTGGGCTGCTTCCTGGTCACCCGAGACAACAAAGATGCAAAAAATGATACGAAATCCGGAGCAAAATCTGATGCGAAATCGGTCCGCGATACGAAATCCGGGGCTTCGACGACTTCGATGTTTGCCCCGAGCGAACCCAAAGCTCGACAGGGGCGGCCGCACGAGTTTCAAGCCTCGGCCAAGTCACAGGGACCGCAGCCAACGTTGATCAACCTTTGTCCCAACCTGGTGGTACCTGAAAAGGTTCCGGGATTCCGGGGATTCCGGGGATTCAGCTAACCTGCAGTGACATGGGTTCATATGAAATATATGAAGTTCAGTCAGTCATGTTGAAGCTGAAACCCAGTGGTTGAAGAGAATGCGCATGTCTAGGCCAGCATCAAACCAGTCACAAGAGGATGGGAAGCGGGTGGAAAGAGTGCGAACCCTGAGGTGGAGTGCACCATCTTGGTTCCCCAGGTTTCATCTTTGAAGTCCAGCCGGGTGATTCCGCTCTGCGACCTGAGTGGTGGCACAATACTTCAGTTGGAGGTGGTTCGACATCAGCGAAGCGACGAGACCAGGTGAGTCAGGGCTGGGGTGTGGCTTTAGAGCTTGGTGCTGTCGAAGTGCCTTTGTTCATCCTTGTTCCCAACCGATTCTGGCGCTTCCAACATGTTCCACCCAAACCGTCCGAGACAAAATCCTTGTTCTTTTTGGATGCTGCTCACCTGTGAGGCTATTGTTGTTCAGCCCCTCACGGGAGATCCAGTTTGCCACTTGCCAGAAAGCGACTGTTCAAGGTAGCAGAGGCTTCAGTCTTCACGGCCAGGAGCGACACTGGCATCATCGATCATTATATAGTATTATATAATATATATACAATATATATATATATTATATTGTAATATCTGTTTCCAAATGTTTACGTTAAGTGTTTCCATTATCATGGGTGGCTATGATATATCAGGACGCTAATCAGGTGGTAAAATCCGTGTCCCGTTCCACCAGGACGCTTCGCGTCAAGCTCTCCTGCGGGGAGTGGAAGGGGGTTGCCTGCTGACGTCACAGCAAAGGGGAAGCATCCGACACTCGGCAGGTGACAGGGCCAGGGCCACCATCCTTTGTAGAGGATTTATCCGTGGATTCATGGCTGACCACATCGATTCTTCATGAGATCTTTGTGAACGCCATGAGCCTGGGGCATAGGCATAGATAACTCATGATAATTCCCTAAATGAAGGGGCTCACCACAGTGTACCAAGCCTTGCAACTTCCAAAAGATTCCAAAAGTGACTGTGGCGCAACCTGAATCGTTTGAGGAGTTTGCTCTAAACGTTGCTAGAGATGAAATCTGTAAATGTTTGCGGGGGTGTCAGCCACCGTTGGCATGGCAATGCGAGCATGAACCTTACATAGAGATCGGGGATGACTTGGGTCATGGATCCAACGAAGAATCCATGCCTCGTATTCCATCAGGTCTTGGAACAAAGTTGAAGATATTTGTTGACCGTCACCGAGTCACAGTTGCTGAAGACGCTGACATGTAAGTTCTATTGTGACAGCGAAATGCCTTCAAATGAAGGGTAGGTATTAGTCATAAGATGTCATAAGTGTGTGAGTAAAAAGAACAGTTTTTTGAGTCTCCTATCCAGAGAGCAAGAGAGCAGACGCAGGCGCAAAACAAATCTATTTGTGACGCAGTGCAGCAGAGCCGTGGCATTGAGGTTTCCGCATCAGTTCACCAGGAAGTATCAATGCGTCCGACGATGACGGGCAACTTCTGGCATACTCCGACCCAGCTTCGGCTGATGCCCAAGGCAGTTGGAACGCAGATTCAAGGGGTGGTCTTAGAGAACAGAGAGGTGAAACAAGCTGGAATTACAACTGCTCAGGAACGGTGGCTGGAGGTAAGCAACGTTCATCCTGAACAATACGTAGAAGATGTAGAAGGAAAAACATATTACACACACAGATAAATAAATAGATATAAGTAAATACATCAATAAACACATAAAAATTACACATACATACTATAGAATGAATATACTATATGGAATTTACTACTTCGCCAACTTGGGCCATCGGTCCCCAACCGGTAGGGATTAGCAGGTCTGCCGCGGCTGACTTTGAAGGTTGGACCGAAGGTTGATGCAGGCAGGATGCTGGACTTGAGTATACTATGTTATGCTTAAAGATTCCAGTGGCTGTACTTTTTCTGCACCAGTTCATGATGAAAATGCCAGGCAAGATACCTGGATGTCTCAGTTTTCTTGGGATTTAGATGCTCGTTGTTAGATGCTCCCTGGCAACTCTCAAGATAACAACGAAGATTATATAAGATTATATAAGCACATAATCCAGTTGGAGCAACCAGCAAAAGCGTATCCACTCCTCGGGCTGGTGTCCTTTGTAGATGGCCAGTGGCAGCCTCGCTAAGCCTCGCTGGACAGGTCTGATGGCATTGTGCTACGTGGCCATCGGGCTTTTGAATGATGAAAAATCAAGCAAAACTGGTTGCTGAATGTTGCTGAGAGGGTGGCAGCCAGTGGCAGCCAGTGGCAGCTGTGACTTTTATGTGGCAACACAGCCTCCACGGACAGTGCGGGTACTGCTGTAACAACAGGGCCGGTCAGTACCAAGAACAGTGCGTGCTGACTGTAGCTATTGATTTTGACGCGTGCATGCTGAAAAGTGGGCAGATGGCTGAGAGACCTCTGGTAGGTGTGTTTCATTTCATCCTTTGAGGAAATTCCAGTTGAGTCATGGTTGGCCATGGCGCAACAGGTTGCTGCTTGCGTTTCTGGGAGTTCCACGGCTTGATGTCTTTCCCTGGCAGGCAGCTCAGAGGGGCTCCAATTTGTTCTGGACCTGCTATGACACAATAATGACATGCATATACATAGCATACACACGCACACACACACACGTATATTAATATATATATATATACAATATATAGTAGGTATACATTTGTATAGATATCGATATTGATATCGACACATGCTTGCAGCTCTATGCAGCTCTCATGCCTGCTGCCGAGGGGGCAGCCTTTCCGAGGCCCACCCCACCGCCCTCAGAGTCCATTGCAGCGGCCATCCGAAGGCTCCGTGCCATCGGAGCCATCGAAGACGACGGTGTGGCACTTGTCGTTATTGAGTGTTATATGGTGTTATATGATCAAGTATGACTGTGGATTGACTGTGGTAAAGTGGCCTTGGATGGATTGATTAGACACCTCCATCCCTTTCTAAGATTTTCTAAGGACTCTAGTCATTCCCCAGACGTGTTGACGTTTTACGTGTTGGATGTTGTTTCAAGGCGTCAACACGGAAGGCCTGGGCCTTGGACGTGTATTGCCACGGACCCGGCTGCTGCTTGACTCACCAAGGCGCCCGAGCTTCCTCTGCTGTGGTGAGGCGCTGTCGCAGCTGTGGCAGTGGACGCTGAGTGGATTGCCACGCTGGCGCCGGCAGGTGTACAACTTTGGGATATCGCCTGGAAACCTAGGGACGTGCATGAGCAATTTCATTTTGATAAATGTGCTTGGATTGGCCCGAGCTGAGCTGTAACTTGAGGTTTGGCCGCTTTGCCAGTGGCCGGAATCTCAGTCTCAGCATGTAATACGATATAGACCACACACACATACACACATACAGACATAATACATACCCACATACACACACACGTACGTACGTACGTACGTACGTACGTACGTATGTATGTATGTATGTATGTATTTTATATGCATATAGTAAACAAATAAATAAGGTGTTAATTAAGTAGACCAGTAGTACCGCAAAAGGCGGTGGCGGAAGTTTCAGAGATAGGACACTATGGGACAGGTGAATTGTTGTGACGCATGGATGACAGAGCAGATCCACTGATGGACCGAAAGGTGGTTGGAGTTGTGTTTCTTGGAGTGGTTGCAATGGTTGCAGTAGTCACCTCACCCACAACTGCTGGATGTAGTGTGGTGTAGTGCAGCTGTAGTTGTAGTTGTAGTGTAGTGGAGTTGTAGTTGTGTGGTGTAATGAGTGTAGTGGAATGTAATGTAGTGTAGTGTAGTGTGCTGTAGTGTTGCGTGCTGTAGTGTAGTGTGGTGTGGTGTAGCCTATCCTAGTCTAGTGCAGTGTGGTGTAATGGAGTGTAGCGTAGCGTAGTGCAATGTAGTGTAGTTGTAGTTGTCGTTGTAGTTGTAGTTAGTGTAGTGTAGTGTAGTGTAATATAGTATATAGTATATATCATGTATCTATATCTATATCTATATCTATATAAATATATATACGCACACATATCGTGGCTATGTATAGTTACCAGATAGTTGTGCACCTGGACCCATGAACTCAATCATGAAATCTCAGAGTGACAGGCAGGAAAGAATGAATCTGAGGCACCGAGATATGCGCGGATGCTCCTGGCGGCCATTTCAGCTAGTGCGGAAATGAAGGTTGGGACGGGGAAACATCATGGAACGCCATGAAACACCAGGATGAAATACCAGGACGCATGCACCTGGCACCAGATGATGCCTAGATGCTGAAAGTGGGGCAGCCAGGCAGACCACATCATTGGCCATGCCTGCGCCATTGTGGCCGCATTGTCTGCTGGAGCCCAAGGGCACAAATCCTTGGGCGTTGTCGTATGCAGATGTCCCCCTGTGGAAGAGGTTCAGCCATTGATGTTGGTGTGTTGCACTTACCTCAGCGCTACCTCAGCACTGAGGTCGGCAATCTCACATGCTGGGAATCCGCGCAGGAAGTTGAAGGCTTCCAGATGTAAGTACTGCAAGTCCTGCATTCACAACAGCTTGTGACACCATTAGGTGAAAAAGATCATCCAATAGGGAGTCCGCATAGTCCAGTTTTCCATCCAAAAAAGGCATGCGCTTTGTCAAAGGTCTGAAGACAAATTCCTGGGCTGTACATAGCTGTGTTAGCTGCAGGTGGTGCCGGTGATTTGGAGAACGAGCTGGTTCGGGCACAACGAGAGGTGGAGCTGCACGGCTCTTGTCTCATGGCATCAATGGCATCATGGCCATTTGTGCAAAGGCACAGAAAAGATTGGACGAAGCCACCAAGAAAGAAGCGCCCAAGTGGTGGATGCCTCAAGCGCCGATAGCTACTCTTGACCCATCTCAGACCAGATCAATGGCAATTTCAGGAACCTACATTGAGATACCTCCCATATACAAGGTCCATGTAAAAGCTATATAAGGGGATATACTCCCAAAATATGGCTTTACCATATACAGTACCTCCATTTTAGGATCCTGGAATTCCCATTGACCAGATCGAAGCGCATGAAGTTTCGAGGAGTCAACTCAAAGATGATGCGGAAGGCCTTCTGTGGCTCATGGGTTGGGGTTCCAAGATATGCCAAGCCAACGACCAGTGGCTGTTTGGCGGTCAGTGGCTGATCTTTGAGACCCTGAGGTGGCTATGCATGGGCTGCCAGAGGTGGGGACGAGGCCAATGGCCAATGGCCGACGTGGGCATTGCTGTTGCGAGGGGTCCCTCCTTCACATCCCAGCCGCTCCCAGCAGCTCCCAGCTGCTCCCAGCAGCTCCCAGCAGCTCACAGCATTACAGAAACCATGGAGGCCGCGGACAGCTTTTGTCAGAAGAACAGGATCAACCCACGGCAGATGGCCGAGGCGGAGTGGCTTGTGATATGTTGTGAAACACAGCAGGGGGGTACTGGAAAGCCGAGTTCGGCCCGACCCAATTATGTGGTGGTTGCCAGAGCATTCTTTGCGGGTTATGTAATCCTTTACTTTGGTTGTACAATTATGCTCACTTCTGCCCCGCTATACCCAACTTGATATCCATCCAATAGTTTTGGAGATATAACGGGGTTGGAATGTTTTGGATAATTGTTTTTGGATCATGGTTTTGCTTAGTTTGATATGTGTTGATTCCTTAGAGTGTTTCTTTGGGAAGGGACCTGTGAAGCATTTTTTCCAAGGCCCACAGCCTCATGCAGCAACTGGCGGAGCTGCTGCAGTCGCGCCCTCACGTAGGATCACGCTGGGATCATGTTGGCATTTCTGAATAGGTGTGATATAGATATGATATATGTGTCATATATGTGTCATATGTCATAGGACTCTTACAGATTACATACATCAGATTAAATGATTAGGCTGAAAATGGCAGTAGTATCATAGCATGAAGTTCAGAAGTTCATCTACTTGTGCGGCATAACAGGCAGCTTGCAAGACGCTACCTGCAGTCATTTGTAGAAGGAGGATGGAGGGCTATTTTTTATCTGTTTTTTAAATTTCTGGTTCCCAGCTTCTTTGCTTTTCCCTACTTCTTTGCTTCTCCGCTTTTTTGCTTTTCCCTGCTTCTTTGCTTCTCTGCTTTCCCTGCTTCTTTGCTTCTCCGCTTGTCTGCTTTTCCATGCTTGCCTGCTTCTATGTTTTGTTTTTTGCTTCTCTGCTTTTCCGCTTCTTTGCTTTTCTGCTTCTTTGCTTTTCTGTGTTTCTGCTTCTTTGCCTCTCTGCTTCTCCGCTGTTCCCTGCTTTTCTGCTTATTTGCTTTTCTGCTTTTCCCTGCTGTCCCTGATTGTTTTTGGGTTGCTCACAAAAACAAACTAAGACGCATCATGTAAATAAACCCTGAACCAGCCCCAAATCAACCCTAAATAACCCCCAAACCAACCCTCCAAAAAACTAAAGCGACTCTAAGTAATCCTTAAACACACTTCAAATAAATCTGAACTAACTCTAAATAAACCCTAAACCAACCCTAACTGGATCCCAAACCATCCCCAAATAGATTTTAACCACGCCTAAATTCCCAACAGCAGGGCCTGTTGGGTTTCAATCTCTAGGGCTGGGGCTGGCTCGCGGGGACTTGCAGCCTTCAAAATCCGGAATGGAACCCTGGAACCCTGGAACCCTGGAACTCTGGAACCCTGAAACCTTGGAACCCCGGAACCCTGGAACCCTGGAACCTTGGAACCCCGGAACCCTGGAACCCTGAAACCCTGGAACCTTGGAACCCTGCGACCGTGGAACCCTGAAACCTTGGAACCTTGGCACCCTGGAACCCTCAAGGATTCTGGAACCCTGCAACCTTGGAACCCTGGAACTACCTTGGAACCCTGCAACCCTGCACGCCTGGAACCCTGCTGGATCCTGGAACCCTGGAACCCTGGAACCCTGGACCCTGGAACCCTCGAACCCTGGAACCCTGGAACCCTGGAACCCTGAAACCTTGGAGCCCTGGAACCCTGGAACCCTGGAACCCCAGAACCCTGGAACCCTGAAACCCTGGAACCTTGGAACCCTGCGACCGTGGAACCCTGAAACCTTGGAACCTTGGCACCCTGGAACCCTCAAGGATTCTGGAACCCTGCAACCTTGGAACCCTGGAACCTTGGAACCCTGCAACACTGCACACCTGGCACTCTGCTGGGATCCTGGAACCCTGAAACCCTGGAACCCTTGGAACCCTTGGAACCCTGGAAACCTTGGAGCCCTGAAACCGTGGGACCCTGGAACCCTGGAACCCTGAAACCCTGGAACCTTGGAACCTGCGACCGTGGAACCCTGAAACCTTAGAACCTTGGCACCCTGGAACCCTCAAGGATTCTGGAACCCTGCAACCTTGGAACCCGGAACCCTGCACACCTGGCACCCTGCTGGGATCCTGGAACCCTGAAACCCTGGAACCCTGGAACCCTGGAACCCTTGGAACCCTTGGAACCCTGGAACCCTGAAACCGTGGGACCCTGGAACCTTGGAACCCTGGAACCCTGAAACCCTGAAACCTTGGAATGCTGGAACCCTGGAACCCTGCAACCCTGAACCTTGGAACCCTAACCCTGTTCCTTGGAACTTTGAAACTTCTGGACTTTGGAAACTTCTGGAGCCCTGGACCCCTGGAACCCTGGAACTTTTGGAACCTTGGAACCCTTGGAACCCTGGAACCGTGAAAGCAACCTGGACCTTTGGTCATTGTTTTGACAAAGCCTTGAAAAGATCATACTTCCAGACCACGCTGGCGCGCCTGGTATAGCCAAATCAGATAGCAATTGGCAGCCGAAGCTGTTTGGACCAAGACTCTGCTGGACAGGAATGCCCTAGAAAGCACACCCTCTGACCTCTAACAAGCTAATTTATCAAACATGGCTTTTGGTGTCCATGGTCCTGTCAGCACAAACGCGCACACCCAGCCAGCGAAAATGATTCATGCTTCAGCGACTACTCTAGTGTCACTACATGCAACAGGCCCTTCAAGCCAAATAGTCTTAACCCGGTAGAATGTTTTTGCCCGACATTTAAAGTACAAGATTGTATGTAACATTATTGCGGCAAAAGGTCCGAAAAAGATAATTCTCACTCACATCTTGTTTTATTTTGGCTGGGCACATGCTCTTTTGGGGTTCAATCTCTGGGGCCGGGGAGTGGTGACACAAAAATGCACACCCCGAAAAAACGGAACAGCCCTGGAACCTTACTGGAACCTTACTGGAACCTTCCTGGAACCTTGAACCTTGGATCTGTGTTGGAATGCTGGAATCCTTGCCTGAACCTTTGAAGGAACCTTTTCTGGAACTAGGATGCAGGTGTCCAAGGTTCTAGGACTTTCTCAAGATTAAAGGGTTCCAAGATTTTAAGGTTTCAGGGTTCCAGGATTCCGGGGTCTAGGTCAAGGTTCCATGGTTCCAGGGTTTAATGGGACATGAAGCAGCCCCGCACATTAAGCAAAGAAAAATACAAACTAATACAACAAAATTCAAACTGAATCCGCAAGTTTTGCTATGGCGTCCGGAAAGGTTCCTGCAAGACTTCCTGCGAGGCGTTCCTGCAAAGGCTCCAGCAAAGGGTTTCTGCTCTGGAACCCTGCAACCCCGGAACACTGAAATCTTGGAGTTTTGCAAAACTATGGAACCTGCAACCTTGGATTCCTTGGAGCCTTGTAACTTTGGAACCCTGCTACCTTATCCTGCAACCCTTGAGCTCTAGAACACTGGAACTTTCGACTCTTTGCGTGAACCTTGGTGCTTCCTGTGCACCCGGGTAGCCTTGCGCACTGGGAACGCTCAAGCTTTACCTGAAACGTTGAATTGTGGGACTTTCACAATATGGATCCCTTGGTCCATGGAATCTTGGAACCAGGACACTTGAGTGTTGGAACTATGAGACTCTAGGATCATGGAATTGTGGAACCCCAAACTTGGCCTCTTGCAATCTTAGAGCCATGCTACCCTGCCTGGAAACCGAGAGCTCTGCGAAAAACTTTGAACCTTGCACCTTGTGAAACTGTAGAGTTGACGCTTTACTGTGGATCATACTGATCATTGTCATACTGTGTTTTTCCCAACAGCGAATCTGTTGGGTTTCAATCTCTGGGGCGGGTAGAACCTTGCTGGAACTCTGCTGGAACCTGGTGAAACCTTGCTGGAACGTGGTGAACCTTGCGGGAACCTCGCTGGAACCTTGTTGCTTGAACCTCTGGCTGGCACATTTTGCTACGAACCAATGCGGGTGGCGATTTCGTTTTTCTTTTTACATTGTTTTTTGCTTTGCTTAATGTGCCAGGTTGTAAGGTTGGAAGTCTGGCTTGAACTTTGTTGGAACCGTTTTGCAACCTTGCTGGAACCTATATGGGAACAACTTCTGGCTTTTCTTGGGATGTTTTTTCCCGAGAGCGTCTGAGCGAAGGGTTCTTCTAATAGTGGAGGTCTGCTATACATCTTCATATATGTTCACATCACATCTTCTCATCTTCACATCGTCACTCTCTCTCCTCCTCTCTCTCTCTCTCACATGGTCTCTCTCCTTCTTTTTCTCTTCGCTCTTTAGGCCGTGGGCGGTGCCGACGAGGCGCCACGAAATAATGTTCGATCGTCAAAAACTGACGTAAAATTGCGATCTTGCATCCTCCGCGGCAACCCTGTCGCTCGAAATGAAGTTCGAGTGTCAAGAGCTGGGGTAAAATTGCGATTTTACATCCTCTGCGGCAACCCTTTCGCACGAAATGATGTTTGAGCGTCAAACCGTTTTTTTTGCGGGTTTGGTTGGTTCTGGTAAAGGGTCTGCGCGTACAAGTGCTTGTGTGTAAAAGTGCTTGCGTGTAAAAGTGATTGTACGTAAAAGCGTCTGCGTTTAAAGTGTTTGTGTGTAAAAGAGTCTCTGTGTAAAAGCGTTTGTGTAAAAACGTCTGCGTGTAAAAGTGTTTGTGTGTAACAGTGTTGGTGCGTAAAAGCGATTGTGTGTAAAAGTGTTGGTGCGGTAAAGAATATGTGTGTAAAATCACAGTTGTGTGAGGCATGTATGTATGAACATGCTTGTATGTAAAAATGTTTGTCTCAATCCTTCTTCCTGTGTCTCCTTCGTTTAATCTTGTTTTTCTTTCTCCTTCAATTTCTTCGTATGTCACTACTTTTTCACAAAATGTCTGCAACATGTCTCTTCATTTTAGGCATCATCGTATATTTCATTTCTATATTTATGTTTCATGCTATAAGATCTTCATACTTATACCTCTCACTATGCTCCTCTACGCTCTCGGGCCATCCGTCGTCTAGTTTGAATGGCAACTGGCAACCAAAGACGACGGTCCCTTGCTGAAACTGTGCCGGAATCCTTGCCTGAACCTTTAAAGGGGCCTTTGCTGGAGCCCTGGCATGAACCTTGCACTGCAAGGTTCCAAGGTTGCAAGGTCACGAGGCAGCCAGGAAGCACCAAGGTTCATGCAAAGAGTCGAAAGTTCCAGTGTTCTAAGGGTTGCAGGATAAGGTGCCAGGGTTCGAATGAGTTTGAATTTTGCTGTATTAGTTTGTATTTTTCTTTGCTTAATGTGCAGGGCTGCTTCATGTGTCATCAAATCCTGGAACCATGGAACTCTGTGGAACGCCAAACTTGGCCTCTTGCAACCTTGGAGCCTTGCTACCCTTCCTGGAAAGCGAGAACCGAAAAACTTTGAACCTTGCACCTTGTGAAACTGTAGAGTTGACGCTCTACTCTGATCATACTCTATTTTCTACAAACTGAAACAACTCTATTGTGTTTTGCCTTTGCTTTGTATTGTTGTTGACGAACCAAGACAAGACCCTTACAAGTCTGGAACCATCCCTGATGCTTGGAACCTTGAACTCTGGAAACCTGGAACCCCAGAACCCTGGTAATCTAGAACTCTGGAACCTTGGAGAGCTCTGCAACCTTGCAATCCTGGAAACTTGCAACTGCGGAATCTTGGAACCCTGCAAAGCCTTGGAACCTAATCCGATAACAGTGCAACCTTGGAACACTGGAACCCGCTGTTGGGTTGCAAAGCTGGGTTAATTAGCCTTTTTTAACTTATATAAACCAACCCTAAAACATTTTTTTAAACTAAGCCTAAAAGCCCAAATAGATCCTAAACCAACCTAACCAAACCTTAAACCAACCCCAAATGGTTTTTAAAACCAAACCTAGATAGATCCCAAACCAACTTAAACAAACCTAAACAAACCTTAAACCAACCCTAAATAGGTCCCAAACCAGCCCTAAATAGATCTTAAACCAACCCTATATAAATAGATCCTAAATCAAGCCTAAATAGATCTCAACCCAACACCAAATAGATGTTAGACCAAACCTATATAAACCTTATATAAGCCAACCCGAAATAGAGTTTTACATCAAACCTAAATAGATCCTAAACCAACCTAAACGAACCTTAAAACCAACCCCAAATAGATCTTGGCCCACGCCTAAATAAACCCTAAAACCAACCCTACACGAACCCTAACTAACCCTAAATAGATCTTAAACAAATCTTAAATAAACCCTAAAACCAACCCTAGATCACTAACCAATGAAACACACTGAATAAACTCTAACTCTGAAACCAACATCCAAAAGACCTACAACCAACCCCCACAAACCCTAAACTAACCCTAAAACCAACCCTAAATCAGCCCTAGTTGCAAACTGCCATGTTACATGGACAGTTCGAGCACCAACATCTTGCAAATACAATGGAAAATAAGAGGTTCGAACTCAGACATGCTGCAAATTGCGCCAAGAACGTTGCAAATATCATGGAAAGTGAGAGGTTCGAAGTCAAACAGGCAAATGCCATTGAAATGGCAGCTTCCAGCTCCAAAATGCTGCAAATAGCAAGGAAAACAGACGGACCCTTGGTAGAAGTCCTGGTCCCAAGGCGACGGCTCCAACTGGCGTTTGCTGCTCAGGTGTTGTAGCAACTTCCCTTCATGATCAGAATCCCCAACACAAGTGTCTCTTCACTCTCTGTAGCCATACACCGGGTGTAAGGAGGTAAATCCAGTCATGAACCATCCCCAATCTTGGTATATTGTTGGGTACGGTATGCCCGTACCCTCTATTTCGGATGATTTAAAATGACCAAATGGTTGGTTTACCCCATCAACAGCTGCCAAGCTGTTGCACAAGTCGTGAGGTCTGCTGGCTTCGACTTGGAGCTGCCGCTGTTGCCGCGGCCGCCCAAGCCACGACAAGCACAGCTATTACGCGACTTGGATTCACTTACAATCGGAACAAACTAAACCAAACCATACCATACCATACAATACAATACAATACATACATACGGATGGATGGATGAATCGATGGATAGAAAGAAAGAAAGAAAGATAGATAGATAGATAGATAGATAGATAGATAGATAGATAGATAGATAGACAAAGAGATAGATAGATTCAATTAGATTCGATTAGATTAGATTAGATAGATTAGATTAGATTGGATTGGATTGGATTGGATTGGATTGGTAGATAGATAGATCGATAGATAGATAGACAGACAGACAGATAGATAGATAGATAGATAGACTGATAGACTAGATAAGATTAGATTCGATTAGATTAGACAAGATAGATTTAGATTAGATTAGATTAGATTAGATTAGGTTAGGTTAGACAGACAGACAGACAGACAGACAGATAGATAGACAGAGAGATAGATAGATAGATTGATTGATAGACTAGATAAGATTAGATTCGATTCGATTAGATTAGGCAAGATAGATTTAGATTAGATTAGATTAGATTAGGTTAGGTTAGACAGACAGACAGATAGATAGATGAGAATCAACACGGATCAATGACCTTTTTGGGGCTGGCGATGTAGCGTGGTTCAGATGGACCTGCCCTTTCTTAGGCGAGTGCATAGCTGAAGGCTTGCTGGACCGAGTTGCCATTGCTTTCCCGGACTTGGGCCACCGCCTTAACCACAATCAGCAGGCCCGGGGGGGTAAAGGATTGGTTGTCAAAGCACTGTGGACTGTGGTGCTAAGGACACCGGGCATATATTTGTGCTGACCTTGGACGTGAACGCCCTGTGTACATACACACCTCATCGAATGCATTTCGGCACAGGTGGGGAGTGTGGAACTTGACTGAATCGCACTGGATCCTAGAAGTTGATGGGCAAGATTAAATAATGCCAGGCCTCAACCATCAGTGATGGTCTTCAATGTTGCTCGCCTCAGCTCAAAACTCGCTGCTTCTGTCCAAGTGGTGATTTGTGACTACAGTACCCAATACAGCTGCCCAAAGCTGACCTCTGCATTTGAGGAAATCATCTCGACCCACAAGCCCTTCATGAGGCTCTTGCTGCGTTGAATAGGCTCATGACAACTTCTGGTGCTTCTGGTGCGGTTGTGAAAAATGCTCTCCGTGAGGGACTGCATCAGCATCGACCCCCTTCATTTGGCGAAGGTGCGCTGATCTTGTTTCCATTCTGTTTAAGCCTTTGCCAAATTGGAAACAGACAAACATGCCCAAATGGACAACGTTACGACATGTTCTGACCGCTTTTCCTTGGCAACTCATTTGCGACATTGCACGGGTCGTCAGCGCGCTGCTGCGGGTGGCTGCCCTTTGCTGAACCTTGGGGAGCCTGGGACCCACAATGCTGTGGTTGCGACTCTCCAAAGGTGTGGCTTATCCCAGCACAAATTACCATTGGGTTACCTGAAAGTGTTTGTGAAAGATTCTTTGGAAGATCCTTCTGCTATTTTCTGCTGCGGCTGAGGTTCATTCCCGTACCAGGCCCTCGGTACCTTCCTGAGCAGGAGCAGGGTGGACATCAGGGTGGACATCCACAGTTGTGAAACCCCCAGTTTGGGAAGTCTCGTGGTACCCATCCTCAAAATGACAGGAATGTGGATTGATGTGGATTGTTTGCGCTGGATTTTAGGCTGTTTGGAGGAGATTGCGCGTTTCGCAGTTCTCTGCCTGAAGGACAAAGTGCTTGCCTTTGCCAGTCCGTTGTGGGCTTGGTGTTGATATTCCCGCCCTTGAGTCCAAACTTTGAGAAGAATGAGCATTGCTGTACGATGTATTCCGTCTTTGTACCATGGTTGCGGGTTTCTTGCAGTTCATTTGTATATTCCTCTCTTTGGTCGGTTTGGCTAAATGTATTCCACTGTACATCCGGTCTGGTGCGTGAAATCTTCAGAGGTCATACACTCCGCTCTCTTACTCACTCCCAACAGTAGAGGCCAGCTTCCTTTATGCAATTAGGTTCGATGTTCCACGAAAGTTCGCCACCTTCTGATGGTGTGTGTGAGTGGCAGGTGGAGGTTCCAGTAAACTCGATCTTCCGGTACAAGGCATCAAGATCATGCTTGCATATGCTTGCTGGAGAGAAGAGGTCAGTAAAATGAGGTGGTATTTGGGCAATGGTTGGGCCAAACCGACAACCCAAAAGACGAGGTAGGTGACCTTTCGAACTCGAAAGTAGCCTGTTGGGTTTGGTGCTCGGTTAGGCTTTTGGCGATTGCTCCAAAGTGAAGGGGGCAGCGAACAATTCAGAATTCCCTTCCAATAATCCAAACTTGGAAGTGGATAAGCCACCTATGCATTCGAAGATGGTCCTTTCGGAATGGGATTTCCCATTGCCATGTTTGATGACTGGACGGTATGGGTCTCCACCGTTAAAACAGATGCTCTTGAGGAGATTCACGCCCTTGCCAGGTCTTTGCCAAGGATCAAAGCTCAGCTTTACAGGGAAATGCAGTTTGGGGTGCCAGGTGCAGAACCAGCCGATTTGCTTCCTCTTACATCTACAAAAGCATCCCTCAGGTTTTCGGCTCAAAGCGTACAACCTGGAATCCGTTCCAATCCATTTCTTCCTGGATTCCAACAGCCCTTTGAGATCTCTGCTGAATCTGGAGCCCAATGGAAGCCAAAAGCCGATGCCAGAGTTTCGCATTCATTTTCCCATTG